AGTGGAGTGTTCTGAAGGACTCGCCCTTCGTCACTGTCACCCAGAGAAGGCCTTGCACACCATTTCTTGCCTGCTTTGGCTCATTTTTTGAGACTGCCAGGCTCAAAAGTCCCGAAAACAATGAACTATTGAGATTTTTTTCCTTGCATTTGAAGAAGGGAGGTGGTGGCAGTGCTTCTCTCTGGGGGTCTTAGGTGAAACATACAATTTCCACGGGGCTTAAGAAGCCTGACTTGGCAGCCTGGCTGGGCTGCCTCAGTGCCCCACCTGTCCAGAGCCGTCCTGGTCACCTGCATGTGTAGGGGCCGAGGGAGACAGCTGTGAGTGTGTGGCAGCCATGGGCGTTTGCTTGATATTTCCTGGCTCCAGCTGTGCTGTGTTTGGGCCAGGGAGCGTGATGGGAGACGAGGAGGTTGCGTGTCCGTGGACGATCACCGCCGTTAGACTGATGAAAAGAATGTGACTGCAAGCCTTGGTGTGTATCCCCAGCCTGGGACGCTCTCCATCAAAGTACATGTGGGCATGAGTTTCATGGTGCTCTGATGCCCCAGCAGGGTTGGAGGGCAAAGAGGAAGCTCGCCCGGGTCCCCTCAGGGCTGCCGGGTGATGAGGCAGAGCCACTCATGCACCGTGGGGTCAGGACTCTGGAAGTGTTTTCCAAACAGAATAACCATGGCAGCTTCTTGTACCCCAAAGACCTGAGAGTGAGTCTTCATCACAGGCCTTGAGCTTGGACGAAGGAGATTCAGACTCCGACGGCCCAGCTAGTCAGGACCCCCTTCTTTGTTTTATTTAGTGATTGTGTCCCTGGCCAGTCCCCTTTAGAATTCATGGCTTTGGGAATAATAAATAAATAAAAAGAAACGTGGCAGCTTCATCCCGAAAGTACAGATGGGTCACCCTGGCCGTCCAGAACACGTCTGCGTTTCTCTGTGGGTTATTTGCGGGAGGAGCATGACTGGTCTGTCTTGCATTATTTATTATGTTTTTTTGGTCATTTAACTTTGAGATGCAAACATAAAATCTGTAAAACTAAAAGATATCCCTTTCTAAAATAATTGAATTGCGAGCTATGAAATACCACTTTCCGCAGTAAAGCACGAACCTGCCTGTAGCGTTAGAGAAGGTAGCTGTGCTGAAAGCTGGAAGAGAAACGGGAGGACAGCCTGGGGCCCGGGGCCTCCCCGGTCTCCCCACGGTTGCTGTTGCCCTCCAGCCAGAGAGGCTGGGAAAGGTGAAAAGCAGACAGGTTTGCAGTTCAGGGAACAACCTGGGCTTTGTGTGCTGTTTTCAATAAGAGCAGAGGACGCTGCAAAGTCCTCATTAGGAAGAAAACGTTAAGAGCCGGCCGAAGTCTGCCCTGGCTGTGGGTGTGGGCGCGCTGCTCAGGGAATTTTGGAAGCTGCGGATGGTCTCCCGGCAAAGTTGGAGGCACATAGTGTACCGGTTGGACCTGAGCCTGGGCCTGGCTCAGGAGGTGTTGGTTTGTGCCGCCCGGAATCTGAGCCAGGTCGTCCACTTTCCAGCGAAGGCCTCCAGCTGTGGTTGGATTAATGAGGACCGGAGAACAGCAGGACCATTCTACATGTCCTGTCAACACTGTTGTCACTTCTGTTGTTCCAAAACACTTGCCCCAGGTTAGGTATAAACTAAGGTCAAACAGTTTCGAAGTATTTTAGTGCTTTTAAATACAAACATGAGAAGGGATTCATTCAGGAAGACACCAGGTTAGGTTGAGATAAAAAAGGAGTTGCAACAGGAAGATCCTCTGGGTGGGGCTCGAAGGGCCCGTGTAACAGTGGCCACGCCATTGAGAGGCCCCGGAGACGGCTTCCCTTCTGAGTGAGATGAACCCAGGGGCTGGGAGGGAGGGAGCAACGAGGCTGTCTTCCCCAGGGCTTGCTCAGACCGCCAAAGGCCATCATTTCATTAAAGGAAAACAAGGCCAGGTGGAGCTGGTTTACGCCTGTAATCCCAGCACTTTGGTACGCGAAGACAGGCAGATTGCTTGAGCCTAGGAGTTGCAGACCAGCCTGGCCAACATGGTGAACCCCCATCTCTACAAAAAATACAAAAATTAGCCGGGCATGGTGGCAGGTGCCTGTAGTCCCAGCTACTTGGGAGGCTAAGGCAGGAGGACCCTGTGGGCCTGGGAGGTAGACGCTGCAGTGAGCTGTGATCGCACCCCTGCACTCCAGCCTGGGCAACAGAGTGAGACCCCGTAGGAAAAGGGTAAGGGCGAGAGGGAGGGAGAGGGGGAGAGGGAGGGAGAGGGGGAGGGAAAGGGACCAAAAAGCTGGTGCTGTCAAAGTTGACTTTGTGATCCACAAATGTGCTCTCACCCTGCATGTGGGAAGCTGCCCTGGACATGGGCTCTGCAGCAGTGGCAGGGTGAACGCTTACAAAAGTCTCTGTGCCTTGGAGGTAACAGGTCCAAACAGGGGCATTCTCAGTAGATTCGAGGAAAGCAGGAGGAGGGCGGAGCTGAGTCCCAGCCCCTTGCTGAAGGCACAGATACAATGAGGGCAGGTGCCTCCTGGCCAACGAGTCAGGGAGCCGGGACCCTCTCTGTGCTCACTGCTCTTCCGGGTCTCTCTCCTGCTCCTCTCTGCACTCTGCACCCCTCCCTGCGCCTCCCTGGCCCTGCACGGCTTGGGCAGCTTCTACGTGCAGGGGAGAAGCTCTGCTTGTAGTTACATCCAAGCACTTGCCGCCATGCACACTTACAGCTGGGCCTGCATTTTCTAGTCACAAATAAAGAAATTGCCTATGTCCCTCTAACTCCTACACCCACTTTTTTCTCTGTCTATTCTATAAATGACTGAAAGACAGTCTGGGTATATTCATGATTTGTCTATTTCTCCTTTTCGTAAATTTTAGTTTCATTTATTTTAAAGCTCTGGTTATTAGGGGTGTATCACTTGGGCGATTCTCATGTCCCGAGAAGCCGGCCTTTTTACCATGATCACATCCCTCTTTATGGCCTGAAGTCTATGTTGTCTGATATTAATATAATTATGTCTCCTTTCTTTTACATATTGCTTATATGTAAAATTCTTTTGCACCCATTTATTTTCAACCCAGTGTCTTTATACTTCACATGCCTTCTTTTGAAGAATGCAAGTCTTGTTATATTAGCCAGAAATTACAGAAAATATTAAATCATAATGGGTTACAGGAAGCAATTGTCCTTTAGCTCTGATTATCACAGGACTGCCTTCAGCGTTTCAGGATTACCACTCATTCTTAGATTCTTCAAACATTTTCTCAGAGTATTCCAACTGGTAGGTTCTGTGCAAGGTGCCAGGGATAGGGAAGAGGACATAGTATCTGACCTTCAAGAACTTAGAATTAATTGATTTTGACTTTGACGAGTTAGGCACACTGTACAATGTCCAATGACTAATCCAGCTATTTTGTCACCAAGCCTTAGGAAGCCAGCCTTCTTACTTATTTTAGATTCGTTATTACGATTTGGTAACCTATTTCACCTACTGCTTTTTTTGAGATAATCATGAAGTTCGCCCCCATATTATGTTCATTTTGACATCAAACTTAGTTGCTCAGCATGAATTGTTATAATTGTGGATTTCTGTGAATACTCCCCATCCTAAGAGCAGCTGTCAATGCCCTTTACATTTATTTCTCTCAACTGACTGTGGGATGCATATTCCTGAAGCCAGCGCCAAGGTCATTCCGTTTCCCAAGAGCAAGCATCTACTCTCCAGAGGAGAAAGATGTCCTCTGGGAAGAAGGTAGGTGTGTGCGCAGGATCGTCTGGAAGCTGGGCATCTGGAACTCTCAGATACACACGTAAATACGCGTCTAGTCCTTGTACTTGGTGCTCACAATCATTCCCTTAATTCAGGGAGCACTGCCACCTTCCCAAGGAGATTCTTTTCCTATGAGTTGTCCCAAGAACAGAGGAGGTGGCATCGGGCTGGGCAGGGTGGGGATGGCTGTCACCTTCAGTCCGAAATCACTGGCTGCTGAAGCCCCCACCACCGCTTTGTCTGCCCCATTTAACAGGGCACAGAGATTCCTCTGACGTTCACTCATGCCGCATCTCAGGTGTTCTGAGGGAAGTGGATTTCTCTCCCAGCTCCAGCTGGGAGTCCCAGTCAGGATGTTCCCCTCCATTTGCCAGTGAACGGTTCTGAGGATGTTGTGCAAGCTCTGCAGGGTGAGGCTGAGGAAACTGGGACTCTGGAATGTGGAGAGAGGGGCCCTCTGTCTCTTCTGAACAGTGACGCATGGATCAGTCCTGAGGGTGACTCCAGCCAAGCATCCCCAAGAACAGAGGCAGCCCCAGGACAAAGCTGTCCCTGAAAGCCAAGGGAGGGATAAGGGAGAAAAGCCCAGGTCTGAGTTGCTGAGTCCAGGCACCCTCTCTTGGGACCTGCACTGAGCCTGTGCCTGCTTTTCTGCTGGACTGGAATGAGATGCATTTTCTGTGACTTGCAATGGCCCACACTCCTTGTGGAATGAGCCATTCTTTCCTGATATGCTGTGCTTAGGAATTTCTTTGTCCTCAGATCCTATGCCCTCTCTGCATTGCTGTCCTTGAAGACAGGCATGCAAAGAGGCCCTAGGTCTCTCCCATACAGCAGGAAGCACACCCTCACAGCCCCAGTGCTGAGCAGAGCCAGCAACTAAGAACTGTTTGACAAAGTAGAAAGGAGGACTCGGAAGAGGACATGCCACAGCATTGCCTGGGATTGTCATCATTTCCTCCCCTTCCTTCTCTAGTTTTAGAGGGACAGAACTAACGGCTCATTAGAAAAATGCCTGAAGTCGGCCAAGCTCCTTGGCACGCGGTGCTGATGGCCTGGTGCAGGGTGCCACGGTGGCCGGCTGTGCAGCAGCCTTGGTGTGTGCCAGGCAGCTGTTTTCTTCATCGCCTCTAAAAGGACTTGCCTTACGGAAGTGCCCTCAGATCATACTCTGTGAGGTCAGCTATTAATCATTTCATACACCAGTGGTAACTGGACACACTCTCCTTGCAAAGTGAAGGTTGTTTATTGCTTGTTATGATTTAACAGGCAAAATACTACACCAGGCTGTAACACCTAAGTGGTCTTCGTGAAATGCCTGCCCGGAATGGAATGCTGGGATGCACGCAACCATGAATGTTTCCTGAGGTCTGCTTTCCCTCACCTGGATAAAGCAGAGCCCAGCCCTCCTGTGTCGGTGGGACTGGAAGCCCGTGGGGGACTCTGCGTCTGGGGGCCACGTGCTGTGCCCTCTGCCATCTCTGCTCACTGCTCCCCCGTGTTCGCACCTGCCTGCATTCACTATGAGCGGTCACACGTTTGTACCCAGGGAAAGCAGGGCCATGCACGTTGAAGAAAGCAAATCACACTGCTTGTTCTTAAAAATGAGATGAAAAAATAAATCTAAACACACTTTTCAACTGTCACTCTTCTTTAAACTTTTATATATGTTAAAGCTCTTCTTTTTCAATATACTCTACTCAGAACTTTAAAAAATAAACTTTCTTTTTTGGTACCTCTTGTTTCCTGTATTAGCCTGGGAAACATTTAGGAATACATCTCCCTAGAACTCTTCTGTGCAAATAATAAACATAAATAATATTAACATTTATTTATATATATTAAAAAAGGCCATTTCAAGGTTTTCACTGCGACCGCCTTGAAGATGCTCCTATAAGTAGTCTGTGGTCCGGCCCCTGAAGTCCTGATCGGCCTGAGTGGGGCTGGACAGCAAGTCCACGTCCCGTTTGTCCATTGGCAAGCTGCTCCGTCCGGGCGAACTGTAGGACGCTCCCCAGCCTGCTGACCAGTGACCAGGAGGAAATCCAGTTGAGTAAGTTGAAGGTGGGCAGGCTGAAGAGGGAAGACAGCGGGGTCACCCTGCTGGTGCTGGCAGCTCTCACCTTGGACTCCTCAGGACACCCTCCCGGGACAGCATCCCCTGGCGTGGAGGACCTGGGCGCCGGTGCACTCAGCCTTTCCAGCAGGGTGTGCTCCCTCAATGCCATGCTCATGTCCACCGTGCTGGGCTCCCCGCTGGCCTCTGGGGAGCAGGCTGGCTGCTGTGTGTGCCAAGAAGGCTGGGACAGGGGCACAGAGACGGTCCTCCCTGCTGAGTGCTCGGTTCCTGAGTCCTTCGGGAGGCATCCCTGAGCAAAGGTCTCTTTGGGAGTCCTGTGTCTCCTGGGGGACTTCCTGGCCAACTGACGTGCCAGCTGAAGTTGGGTGGGGAGAACGCTCCCCTGGAGGGATCTGAAAAACAATCTAGAAAGAGCACATTAAAACAAAAGGTTAGGTATTGCTGTGGGTGGTGTCTTTCAGCTTCCAGAGACCCTCACAGGGCAGAAGCAATGCCAATGCTGTCTGGGCTCACTCGGGGCTCAGCGGCACCATCCCACTCCGACACCCACCTGGGCAGCAGTGCAGCGACAGGTGTCATCAGGCAAGTCAAGTAAAACACTGGGTCACCCAGTAAGGCTTGCATAGTCCAGTAAGGGTTGGACGGAGGATAGCACGTGGCACAAGACGCGTTGTAAATCAAAGCCACGGTGAAAAACAAAAGGACACTGAAGCCACACGTTATCCAGTTGAGCCAGGTCTGAGGGGGAATGAGAAAGAAAGGGTTTTTATTTCCACCTGAAAGTGACAACAATGACAATAACAAAAATGCGCCAGTCATCAATGAGCGGGTGTGAGGTTCTGAGGCCTTCGGACACACTGCGGTCTATGACACGGGTCACCGGTGGGGCTCAGTGAGGCCTCCGGAACCCGTGGACCACCCTGGGAGATGCACAGGAGGTGAGATGGAGTCAGGGGCGAGAGGGCAAGACAGGAGGGAAAGGAGAGAATGTGGTGGAGGAGGGAAAGAGGCAGGAGGGAGATGAGCATGGCCGGGGAAGTGCGAGCATCGGGCTGCAGCAGCTCCCCACACCACAGGGCTCGGGAACATGTCACTGTCCTTCTCATCACACTGAGGTCAGATCTGCAGTCTCCTGTCTACTCACATCGACCTCACGAATCTGCAGGGAAGTGTAGGGTCCACGGCATCAGTGCCCTTCTGAGACGTGGCCACGCAGGCGGCGCTTACCCAGGTTTTGGTCTCAATGCCGAGGTGCAGCAGGAAGGTGAGCAGTGCGATCGTCACGATAGGGGTCCCCCAGGTGAACAGGTCCACGTTCGAGTCATAGTAGGCCTGAAAGACAGCGGGGTCCTGGATCTGTAGGTCCCCGGAGGCAGCTGGTAAGAAAAACTGCGCCCGGGGGCCAACTTACCAGGTAAGGAATGGAAAAGCAAACCAGGCTCTGGAAGGTGGCGTCGGCCATGTTAAACCAGAACGTTCGCGGCCGGTATTCCTGGGACACAAAAACAGTCAGTAATGTTACAGTGAAGTGCTGGCATCCTCTGTGAAAGCAGTTAGAATAAAAATGGAGTCACTTGTGTTAAAAACAACAACAATAACAACAACAAAAACCAGCCCTGAGGAAGAGAGCTGGGAAAGGCCATGAAGGGAGGGTTCTTATGCATACATGTCTGACAACAAAAATGATCAGATCCACAAAAAATATGTCTGTAAGGACCTGTGCCCAGCAACCGTCTGTCCAACCTCAGACAGGCGTCATTTTTGTCGTTTATCCTTGTAGCCAAGGAAAGAGCATCTCAAAACAATCATGAAGTTTTTTTCCTTTAAATACATATGTCTTCCTTTACCTCCCTAAATATGCACATAGTTTACTACAGCACACATATTCCCATTGCAATGCCCTATTCCCGAATACACACCATTCTCTTTTAGAGAGCCTCTCTCTGTTTGCTGTTTAGGTTGACACCTCGAATGACATTTCCTAGGATGCTACACATAAGCGAATGCACAAGGCAAGCACCCGGGGAAAGCTCACTCTCTCAGGACTTCTGGAGATGGGAGGCCCCAGAGGCCTGATGAAAAGCACCAGCAAACACCTACAAAACTATCTGCAGCTGAGTCACTGGGAACGCGTGCACCAACAAGACGGGCTTCAGTAGCTCCAGGTTCACAGTAAAAACATGAAACTGGCCGGGGGCGGTGGCTCATGCCTGTAATCCCAGCACTTTGGGAGGCCGAGGTGGGCAGATCACGAGGTCAGGAGATGGAGACTATCCTGGCTAACATGGTGAAACCCCGACTCCACTAAAAATACAAAAAAATTAGCCGGGTGTGGTGGCGGGTGCCTGTAATCCCAGCTACTAGGGAGGCTGAGGCAGGAGAATCGCTTGAACCTGGGAGGTGGAGCTTGCAGAGAGCCGAGATCGCGCCATTGCACTCCAGCCTGGGCGACAGAGCGAGATCCTGTCTCATTAAAAAAAAAAAAAAAAGATGAAACTGCTTTCTACATCTTCCCAGGGAACACACCTCTCGAGTAGGAATAGCACCTGAAATTCCAGGCATTCTCCCCCAGTTTGAGCCCTTGCATTCCTTCCACTTTGACCAGGTTTTGCCTCTCTTGGTGGCGGGTCCCTTAGAATGTTTCTTAAGAGCGATTTTAAAATCACACAATGGACGTGTCCCAATGTTAAAAGCAAAAAACTACATGCCCATGGGCAGAAATGAAAATAACCTTGATATAGATGAACAGTCTCTATTACCCGGGTGACCAAATGTGTATTTGACCCTGCCAAGTCCGAGAGCAGCTGGCACGGGACCTGCAGGACACAGACTGGGGAAGGAGCTCTGGCTGAGCACTCAGGGAAAGTGCTGGCTGGGCTCTCGTGGGCCACCTAATTCCACAGGACAGGACACACTCCCAGCGTCTTTGTTCCACAGGTGGCCGAGGAGGCTGAGGCCTGGCCAAGGATGGGAATTCCCCTGAAGCAACAGGTAACAAGCAGAGGCCCTGCTCTCCTCCCTGGCCCTCCGCCTCCTGGCACCCCGTGCATGCAGCCTGCTTCTGTGGGAACTGAATGTTCACAGAGGTGGCCAAGGGAAGTTAACTCACCAGTGAATGAATCTGGAATTAGGGATTATTGCGGGAGAAATGAGACTCCATGTTCTTTTTACCCACATGGAATAATTCAAGGCAAAGAAAAGCACTTACTGTTTACTTCAATGGCTGGCTAGAAACAGCTGGTCATCAGTGTGTGAATCTATGTGGTATATTAATGTCAATATGTATTTCAATCTAGTTGCTCTTTCAGTGGCTCAGTGGCTTCCCTGTGGGTTTGTCTTCTTGTTAATTCCCATTCAAAGTCAGTCACATTTTCTTCCTTGCTTTAGAAAAATCCCCCCTCCAGCCTCAGTGATCCCCTGCGACTGACTTGGACTCTGGGCTTTCCCTGGGCTCCTGGAGACTCTTGGAGGGGGGACAGTTTTGCTTACGACACTCAATGCACCGCAGCCAAGCAGAGAGCGGCCCTTTTTCTCCTTCCTCTAGCATGGTGAGTTCTAGAATTTCTGTTTGTCCAGGGTGTCCATCTCCCCCAGGGAGGCTGGGGGACTGGCGCTTTGGAAGAGTGAACGTGGGGGGCAGAGCTCAGGAGGCGGAAGGCGGAAACTCCGGGGCACTTTACCTCCATGTTCTGGCCACTCTTGTAGAGCTGTGGGTTGGTCTGCAGCACGTTGGCCGGCACATCCCTGTCCAGCACCCCAGTCACGAGCGGGGGAAGCGACGAGAAGAGCAGGTTAAAGAAGATTAGATACCACTGGTCAATCATGGCAGATGCAGAGAAGCCACAGAAAAACTGGAACCAAAACAGGAGGCCCACGAACATCTGAAATCAAGAAAGGAAGAAGAGGAACAGGCGAGTCTTCAGTCATTGCTGAGGATTCTCATCGAGGGAGCTGACAGGCCTGTAGCGTTTCACAGTCAAGATTAACTGTATTGGCAGCAATTCTTCCAAAGACAGCCGCGACCTTGAGTCCTGCTGCCGGCCTCCGCCTCTCCCTCTTCCTCCTTCCCTTTGCCCTCCTCACTCCCTTAAGAAAGAAGAACTGGCAGTGGGAATTGGGAGTTTCCGGGAGCAGCCCTTGCGGGGATGAGGTTTTGTGTTTGACAATCTCTGGATCATTAACATAAAACGAAATCAAGGTTTCACAGGGCTCTAGGGCTGCTCACATTTCAAGAGGGCCAGTTAGGTATGAGCTGTGGCTTCTTCCCTAGCGGCCCTCCTCTGTGACCCCAGACAAAGCCTACCTGTGGCTATATCTCTGCTCCTGTCTCCTCTTTAGTGACCTGCATACTCTCTGAGGAGGTGCAGTGGGCAGTGACTGACTCCCACTGAGGGGAGGACACACAGAAGCACAATAGCAAAGCCAACGACCTCATCAACGTCGCTGCGGTGACCTGATTGTCCACGGGGACCTCTGCTAGGAGGAGAGGGAGAGGCATCATCTCTGATCCTCATAGCTACAGCTACCCGGCTCAGCAGAATAGGAAAGTGAGATTCAGGGAGGTGGAACAGCCACCTCCAGCCCCTGCTCAGTGGGGTGGGAAGAAGGTCAGATCTCTTCTCACTATTGCTAGATCCCTGAATATCAGCGGCCTGAGTGCATTTATACGGTGGGCATGACAGTTCAGTGATTGCAAAGCATTCTAACACTCATGAGCTATGCAGCTGGGCACAGAGCATGAACCCCTCATTCTCGCTTTCCTTGCTTATGGCATGGACATACCAATGACACTCGGCCAATGCAGCTGCTGTCAGCATTAAGAGATCCAATGCATTTCGAGTACCCACCAGAGTTCCTGGCGAGCTATCGGTGCGCGCCTACAGTGTGTGGTGGTGAGTGGCATCGTTAGTTCCCTTGCTCGGGGCCCAGGCAGGGCGAGTGCTCTCACCCCACATACAGAGAGGGAATCTGAAGTTCCAAGACATCAAATGACTTGGCTGAGGTCACGGTGTGAGTAAGAAGCCCAACTTGTTCAACTGCGATGGGTCTTGGCCTGGAGGGCAGGTGCAGTCCCAGCAGGGAGCTCTGACGCTGGACGGACGTGCTCTGCTGGGCACCGCAAAGCCTGCGCTTGGTGCTGGAGCTGCGACTATCTACCCTTTTGACCCTGACTCAGTCACTTCACCTCCCTGAGTTTTTGGTTTCTTGACTTGAAAGTGACTTGTGAAGATCATAAGAAACAACAGCTTATGTTGAAATAACCCACCATGCCACATAGCCTCCAAGTCCTGTGTCAGACAATGATTTAAATGTCTTAATCTGCAGCCTTTCCCCTACACGCTGAAAACTAACATTTGGTTTTTATTCATTGACTTTCTTCCCTTCCTCACTCCTACGGCTGGCTCTCGCTCACTCACCCCCACAGGCTTGGCCTAGTGAGTCATCGGTAGCAAATGCAGTCAAGAGAAAGAGAAGTACTCAGATAATTGAGATTTTTTTTCCTATAGTACCAAAAAGCTTTCTTCCCAAACCACTGTTGCTATGGAAACTTTTCTTCTCCGCTTTTTATCGGAAAGAAAGGCCAACTTCTTCCTAAAACTAATGAATTTCTCATTTCAGGAGGCAGAGTGATTATCCTTGAAGTCCTCGTGTAGATTAACGCTTGTTAACAAAGGTCTGGCGTTTTCATGGAATAAAAACAGGCCCCCTCTTCTCCTCTCTGCAGCCTTCAATGGGGAGGGACTCATCGCAGGAAGCAGGAAGCTGTGCCCATTCTAGGTGGCCACTGGGGGCTTTGTTTGCATCTGAAATGTCTAATGCTTTGGCCTACATCATTCTTGCCCTCCCTTCGATCTGAGCCATTTTAACTGGGAATTAGGGATCGGCTGGCTAACCCACAGGCTTCGTTTTGTTTTCTAAGATTTAAAAGAAGACTGGACATGGTGGTTCATGCCCACAATCCCACACTTGGGGAGGCAGAGATGGGACGATAGCTGAGACCAGCAGTCTGACACCAGCCTGGGCAACATAGCAACACCCTGTCTCTACAAACTAGAAAAAAACAGCTAGGCATGGTGGCCTGTAGTCCCAGCTACTCAGAAGGCTGAGGCAGGGAGATTGCTTGAGCCTAGGAGTTTGAGGATACAGTAAGCTATAGTGGCACCACTGCACTCCAGTCTGGGCAACAGAATCAGACCCTGTCTTTAAGAAAGAAAAAATCCAAAGAAGAAATTAAGTTGCTCAAGATCTCACAGCTAATAAGTGATAGAAATGGCGCTTGGATTCTGCCCTGCCCACCCCCATTCATCCCTCCACTCCTTTGGGAGCTGAGAACCTCTAGGCTTACAACTGTGTACTCGAGGCCTCGAAGCTCTCAGGATTCAATGCCAGGCTGGGAGAAAGGAGGCAGGAGCCGGCAAGCCCAGGAGTGGTGTGACTCAGCCCTCCTCGGATAGTCCCAGGCACAACCTAATCTGAATTAATGTCGGACCAAACCTAGAAGTTAAACATGCCCTGACTGGGTCTGAGCATCTGTATGCATTTGCTAGAAGATGCTCTGAAAAATGAAGGGGGTGGGCACGAGGGGGAAAGAGAGGTTGGGAAAAGAAAGGCAAGTGTAGCCTCCAGAAAAACAATTAAGAATATGGAGAACCAGCTTGGGCAACATAGCGAGACCCTGTCTCTACAAAATAAAAAATAAAAAATAAAAATTAGATGGGCGTGGTGGTGCGCACCTGTGGTCCCAGCTGCTTGGGAGGCTGAGGCTGGAAGGTCACTTGAGCCCAGGAAGTTGAGGCTGCAGTGAGCTATGATGGTGTCACTGCACTCCAGCCTGGGAGAAAACAGTGAGACCCCATCTCAAAAAATAAAAAGAAAAAACATGAACAACCAATAATAGTTTAGAGCTAGCTAACCGGAGAGCTTTTATATGGAACTGGAAAAAGAATACAGCTTTTATTTGTTTTTCAGAAGAGTACAGGATAGTCTTGACACTGGAGCTCTGGTGTTTAGTCAGGTAGATTTATGGGACTACCCTGGAAGATGACTTATCCTAAGAGTTTATTTTGTCTCCTGTTTGTACATTCAGCCAAAAGCAGCAGCAGCCCAGCAACTCCTCAGTAAAATATCTAGAAATCGCTTACAAACGGGGCAGAGCCCTGAAGCGGCCGTGCGGTCCATCCTGCAGGGCTGTGGAGGAGCCCATCTGCCAAAGCAGCAGTGAAGAAGGAACTAGGAGTCCGACATGAAGATCCACGTGAAATGACCAGGCTGTCTGCAGAGTCCCCAGAGAGACAGAAATGTCTGCAGCCAATCTGCCCTGGGTGTGACTTTACAGCAGGGTCAGTTCAGCTACAGACTGAGCTCATTCGAGAGGGGTGCGTCTGCTCTGCAAGCCTGGGAGGTGAGAGAGAGTGGGAAGGCCCCATGGGCACCCCCTTCCTGTCGGGTCTGAGTCTCCCTGACCTGGGGGCTTGCCGCCTGTCGCCTGTCCTGGTGTGGGTGTGTCCCAACAGAGGCCATTCAGTATGGGAATCAGAGTGTGGCTGAATTCCCTTATTCTGATCCCAGACCACAAAGCACACTTGTACTGATTGGATTTTTCCTGTCTACTCTAGAGAAAATGCGGACTAGAGGACTCCTGTTTGGGGATACCTGAGAAACCCACGGACAGAGTGGTTAGGAGCCTGGGAGGAGGAGCCGGGCGGCCTGGGCTGAATGCAGCCTTGAAGGTTTACCAGCTGTGTGCCCTGGTGCAAACTGCCAGCCTCATTACTACACCCCTTCTCACTCTGCAGCCGTCAGTGGACTTGCTAGTGTTATCTACCTGTTTCCACCACCTCTCCATAGAGATGCAGCTGCTCTCATGCCCCTGAATTAGACTCTGAGCCTGCAGAGCGCAGAGCCAGCCCAGGACAGGGGGCACTCGCACAGGCAAAGGAGGATGGAGCAGATGGGAGGCCGTGGACAGCCCACTGGCCTCATTCAGGCGATGGTCCTAAGAACCGAATCTTCCAATCCCACAATTCTAGGCAGGTATCCAATACCTACTGTGTTTTTGTAGAAGAAGTACAGCACCATGTTGGCAAGTCGGGAGTAGCACCAATGCCCGTGAAGAATCAAGAGCCTCTCCAGGTATCGGAATTTCGGCACCGCAAAGTCGCTGGCCATCACTGCCTTCAAAGGGAGAAGGATTCCTGTTACTGGCGATGCCGACCTGGTGTAAGGTTTGTCTTCTCTTCTCAAAATGCAAGGTACACAACAGGCAAGGAAAATTCCCGTTCCGATCACAGTGGGAGCGTGGCTGGCCAGGGTCTCAATTGCTGTCATCTCCCTCAGCATCTCCTTCCATTACAAAAGAGGCAATCTCGCCCAACACGCTAGTTCAGGGATGTCACCTTATAGGATTCATTTAAGCTTTCAAATGTGTGTCATTAATGGGGTTTAAAATGTTTTCCTTTTCCTGCTGTTTTCTCAACAAATGAAAAAACACAGAGATGCATGGAGTGTATCTGCCTTTCTTCACCCCTGGACGTCATTTTCCTCTAAATCGGTCCATGATCACAACCCAAGGATGACCCAAAGCTGCTCCTGCCATATGTATCAGAGACAGACATTCCCTGTCCTGGGAGGTGCATTTTGGGCTGTTCTCCCCAGGAGCCTTGGTGATGGGCAAGGCCAGGCCCACGGCTCCACTGGCCTCCCACACACTCCCAACCCAGGACGCCGGGTGCAGGTGGTGGCTGTGTGCAGGAGGGAGTGGAGAAGACATTTCCTCCATGGACAGGCAGGACCCTGCCGTGGAAGATTCCCCTGCACATCATCAAGCAAGGTGCCTACACGATGAAGCCAACTAGGCTGGAAAATGCCACCAAATGATACCTTTTGTCCCCAGAATAATTTGAAACCCACTGTACAATAAATGTCTTTGGGAAAAAAAAATCAAACAAAATGGCAGAAAAAGTTACATTCTCCTTACCATCAGATTATTCTAAACAAAATGCCAATCTGCTTTTAACATCTAACTGATTTCCCTATACTCAAATAATATGTAGAAAGCAGTAAATTATGCCTCAAGTGGTATGCTTGAAATAGAATAGTGTCATGATACACAAAACCTTAGAACATCAATTTTCTGAACCAAAAGTTAAGGATTTCACAGCAAACGTCTCTCTGCCTCTTCCTGTCAATACATAGGGGCTTAAAAGTCTTTTTGTGTTCTGTAGTGCTTTACTCATTAACCCCACGATTCATTCCCTCAAAAATCATCTCTTAGGACTCCACTATTGCCAGCCACAGACTTGGAGAAACAGATACCATTAGACACAGTCCCCGTCCTCCACAGAATCTGTCTGAAAAGTTCAGTCAAAAGGGACAAGTGTTAAAAAGAGGCTGATGGCCTGCAAGGCCAAACTCTAGGCTGCCTTTGAAGAAGAAACCCCCGCCCTTGAGAACCACAGTCAAACCCCTGCTGAGGTCGCCTGGCTTGCCAGCCTTCTGCAGCCCCTTCCTCCCCTAAATCCAGGCCTCAAATACAACGCTTGTCCTTCCGTCAGAGTGACCTTTCCAAAGCCTCTCAGCTTTTCTGGGAATTTCAGGAGAGCAGGATCGGAGATGTTGGGGTCATCTTGTATCCCTGGCTCCCAGCCAGCCTTGGCTTTAGAGGGTGCAGGAGCTCACAAAGATGAGCCCGAGCTCATGAAGACAGAGCTTCCTGGGAGCTGGGAGATCTCCTCTGCTCCTCCTGCCCCCTGCCTGGGACAACCTCCCCACCTTGGCTGAGCTGGGGAGCACCTACTCCTCCTGTCTGACTCTCCACGGCTCAGCTCTGACAGCTCCGGCATCAGCATCCCACAGCTCATCTCTCAAAGGGCTCAGCAGGGACTGACTCAAATGCAAGCAACAGGGTCCCAGTGCTGGGAAACCGAAGTGCACAGGATGGTAAGGAAAGGTATCAAGCCTGGTCCCATCTCTCCAAACACATCCCCAGGGAGGATGCGCAGCTTTACATATGTACGGAAGTGCCCAGTAACCTCCTCCCCAGCAGCTACGCCTGTTCAAAGCTGCACCTCCGGGCACCTGCCCTGTGGCTCAGCCGTTCCCATCACCTCTCACGTACAGCCCCAGGGCCTGGGCTGGTGTTCCCACCTTGAGGAGGGGAGCAGGCACGGCAGCTCCGGCCCCTCCCCAGCCACCTGCTCAATATTCAAGTGTCTGATCCAGAAGATGTTTACTAGTCGAGTTTCCAAGCATATGAGGTCAACAGGCACTGCCCCCATCAGATTTTCAGTAGAGGAAACCGTGAAAACAGAAGCAACGCCAAAAAAGTCAGAATGAATGAACTACAGTTGACTCTTGAACAACACTGGAGTTAGGGGCGCCCCCGAACAGTCAAAAATCCACATGTAATTTCTGACTCCCTCAAAACTTAATTACTAATAGCCTACGGTTGATGGGAAGCCTTACTGATCACATAAACAGTTGATAAACACACACAATGGAATCTACATGTATTTCACATATTCACGACATATCTACCTTTTCCTTAATTTTTTTTTTCCTTAAAAAAAAAAGAGAGAGAGAGAGAGAGAGAGAGAGAGAGAGAGATTGGGTCTCACTGTATTGTCAAAGCTGGAGTGCAGTGGTACAATCATAGTTCACTTCAGGCTCAACCTCCCAGGCTCAAGTGGTCTTCCTGCCTCAGCCCCCCAAGTAGCTGGGACTACAAGCATGGGCCACCACGCCAAGGTTTTTGCATTGTTAGTAGAGATGGGGTTTCACCACATTGCCCGACTGGTCTCAAACTCCTGGCCTCAAGTGATCCTCCCGCCTTGTCCTTCCAAAGTGCTGAAATTATAGGCGTGACCCACCACACCTGGCCCTCTTTAATTTTTTCGATATTTTTATGCTATGTAGTTCATCTGCAAGTTTTTTCAAATTGTCACAAATATCCAAAAAATTTCCCAAATATTTATTGAAAAATGTCCCCATATAAGTGGACTCACACAGTTCAGACCTGTGTTGTTCAAGGGTCCCCTGTATTTTGTTCATTTATTTAGCAAATGTGTCTTGAGCTTCCCCTTGTGCAAGGTGCCACGCTGGGCACTGTGAAGACACAAAGGTGAGTCACACGTGAACACCATTTTCAGTTTTCTGGAGGAAGAAAAACGTGTGAGTAACATAATGCAGAGATTCCAGTCAGAGGACGGTGCGGGGAGTATGGCAAGTGTCAAGGACCAGCCATGATGGAACTACGGTGCATCTAGCTTAGGACCTTCCCTCTGAGGGCAGAACATCAGCTGAAACTACTAATGAGCTCTGCACAGATCTGGCACGAAGTTCGTGCCCAACAGATAATTACTGATCGAACCACTGAATCAGCGAATGAATCAACCAGTGAGTAAGTGGTGTCTATATCTTGGTTTTCAGAACATTGGATAAATTGTTCCCTAAAATCTCCACCAATCCAAAAAAGTTGTGATTCATACTTAACCAAATGTTGGACACCGTTGTAATACTTAATCTAAAAGCAGCACATTTTTAGTGAAGTCATTTGCTCAATGTCTGACTCCCAGACCGAGAGTGAACACAGTGGCAGAGGAAAGATGCAGAGGTGAACTTCCGTGTGAGTGAGGATGGCTACATTCCACCTGTACAGTGACGCCAGGCTCCACCTACAGCAAAGGCATTTTTTCAGATGGTATTGCTCAGTGTTCACGGACAGTAAAACGTGCCTGCTGGGACTGAGCCATCGAAAGCCAGGCAGAAGGCGATGACTCACCTTGCCTCTCTCGGAACCACTTATTTCACAAAAATAGACTTGTGACATGGGAAGACATGCTTATTGCACATTGCTTCATAAACAGGAAGAGTGGTATTTCCCCAGACCTTCCACTATTGGCTCAGCAGCTGTACTGAGCATCAGCTGTATCGAGGGCAAACTCTTTAGCCTCGTTCAACAGAGCCCAGAGGAAGGTGGGGACAGCCCACAGGGTGATAGGACAGGAGCCCAGTAGGGCCACTTGGTACCACAGAATAGCCTGATTGGTCTGTACCTGCATACCCTCCTGGCCGGAGATTCCCACACCCACATCTGCCACCTGGATCATGCTGACATCATTGGCTCCGTCACCTAGAAACAGCAAAGGCAGGAAGAATTGTTTGATTCTAGAAACAGCACAGGATCAAATCAATGTGCTAGATTTCCTTGGGGGTCCCCCCTGAACTCAGTCCTGTGAAAGGGTCCTGGGGAAGATGGGGGAAAAAGAAGTAGAGCACCCACCCTGGGAGAATAGAGTTAAGCATTCAGAATAAGCCAGACACACCGGGAGATGTTTCAGAAAGCGGGCTAGAGCTGAGCCACCTGGGACGCGGTACCCGCTCTGCCGTGTCACTCTTACGCCAGTAAAGCCCTCATCCTACTGCCTGGCACAAGGAAAGATGCCATCATCATCTTCATCATCATTAGTTACCGAACCACACCAGCCAAGCAGCCAAGGCTACTCCCAGGCACGCTTCCCTGGGCAGTTTCTAAACTAAAGGAAGGAGGTTAAATTGAGCCCAGCATATTGTGGAGCTCTTTTCTTTTTTTTTGCACATGGATTGCCACAGTATTAGCCATTGTGCTCACTTTGGGGCCCTCTAGGGGTGCAAAAAAGGAGAACTTCTCGTCACGCTGTCAATTTTTTGATAGAAAATGTTTAGGAACACAGGTCACAGGTCAGAGCTCTGGAAACCTTCGGGGAAAGGAGAGCAGAGACATAAAGTCGTTATCACTGTGTGACGGTCACCATTCTTGGAACTGGACAGCAGAAGAGCCCAAATCAGGGCATACATCCCAAGTTGCACAAGTGAGAAAATGTGCAGATACACAAAGTTAGAGTGACTCATAGTGTGACTACAGGATGTCTCTTCCTTGTGATTTTCCTGTTCTTTATAATGTTGAGACCAATATTAAGCGATCAGTCAATATATATCAAACTGGACTTCTCTGAAGTAATAGAAATCTGTACAGCTTTCCCCAGAATGTCCCATTTAAAATGAGATATGGTATGCAACAATACTCTATATTATAAACCACCGGGCACTAGGAGTAAGTCACATTGGTGCTTTAACGCATTCTTTCTTTCTTTCTTTTTTCTTTTGAGACAGGGTCTCACTCTGTCACCCAGGCTAGGTGGGAGTACAGTGGCATGATCATGGCTCACTGCAGCCTCAACCTCCTGGGCTCAAGTGATCCTCCCACTTCAGCCTCCTGAGTAGCTAGGACTCCAGGTGCATGCCACCACACCCAGCCAGGTTTTGTGTTTTTAGTAGAGATGGGGTTTCGCCCACCATGTTACCCCAGCTGTTTTGTTTTTTTTTTCTGAGACAGGGTCTCTTGCTCTATTGTCCAGGCTGGAGTGTAGTGGTGTGATCACGGTCCACTGCAGCCTTAACCTTCTGGGCTCAGGCGAGTCTCCCACCTCAGCCTCTCAAGTAGCTAAGACTGCAGGTAGGTGCCACCACACTCAGCTAATTTTTTTTATTTTTTGTAGAGATGGGGTCTCACTGGTGTTGCCCAGGCTGGTCTCAAACTCCTGGGCTCAAGTGATCTTCCTGCCTTGGCCTCCCAAACTGTTGAGATTATGGGTGTGAGCCACGTGACCAGCCATGCGCTAATGTTCTTACGGTCATTGCTTTCCCTTTTTCTTTTGAGACTCCATTTTGTGTTTCCGTTTCTTTTTAATCAGCCAAGGCTTTCCTTACACTTCTTAAAGGAATACCAGACACCAGTGGCTACGTGGCTGAGCTGGGCACTGGCCAGGCCAGGAAAACATCATTCATGTCTTACTGTGGCCTTTCAGGGTTGACGTTGTCCTCGTGCTCCCAGGGAGGACACTGACGCTCAGAGGAGGAGGCTGGGATGGGGGCGGTGCAGGTCAGCCTGAAGACCGTTTCCAGCTCCTCAGGGAAACCTGAGGGCCACCCCAGGCACAGGAAGGCAAGGATGGCCTCAGGACAGGACGTGGCTGTTAGGCTCCCTGGGCCTTCTGAGCGTGTGCCCTGTGCCCACTCTCCTTAGCGGTTACAGGCCTCGGGGTGCGTAGGACAGGGTCCCCATGACGACCGTGTTCAGGCCAGTGCTCGCTCTCCTCACTCCCACCATGACCCAGGCTCAACAGCTGTCTCCTCTGGCCAGGTGAGGTGCCCACTGTGGACAGGCAGGTGGCAATCCCCATGTCAACAAGCAGTGGCTGTCACAGACCTTTTGCAGAAAATACAGCCAACACTGGCTGATGGATTGGTGAGGGTACTTTATTTCTGAGCCAATTCTCACCTAGGCTTCTATTTACAGGGAGATTCTATTTACAGTAGATTCTATTTACAGGGAGGTCCAGTTGTTGGCATGTGGGGGTCACTGCCACTGCTTCCTTCCTGGCCCTCACCAGGAGGTGGTGCTGCTGAGCCCCTGAACCTGTGCTAGAGACTCTGCCTGCCCAGAAGTGGGCAGAGAGGATGGCCTGGAAGGAGGCGAGTGGCCACCACCCCATCCCTGGAGAGGAGCAGACAGGGCTCTCCAGGTCAACAGTGTCTGTCAGGAAAAACTACCATGAGAGACACAGTCCTTTAATAACTGATATTATTAAATAACTGGTGAGCAGCGATGCATATCTGAGGATGGACTTATTTACTCAGAAGCCTGTCCCAGAACCATCAGCACAGCTGACGGGAGGCAGTGGGAATTCTGGTCAACAAGCCTCTGGACCCTTAGGTGTTACAAAGCCTTGGACACCCAGGGGCTCATGGTGACCAGAAGCAGCTGCAAAGGGCGTTCCTTCTAAGTTGGCCTGGGTAAGGCTGAGTGTGCAGTGCCTTCTGCTGTGGCCAGGACAGCCTGGGACAGGCAGGTCTCTAGTGTCCTGTCTCCAGAGAAACAGGGTAAGTGCCACCTTGTTGCCGTAAAGCAGCACCCTTGTTGCCGTAAAGCAGCACTCTTGTTGCCGTAAAGCAGCACTGGATTACTGACCTTACAGCACGAACCTGTCACTCTGCTCCTCTCTTTTGTGGCTTTCCAATGTGAGCTTTTTACCTTCGGAAGATGCTGCCTGCTCTGTCGCGCTGGGTGTGATTTTACAGACAGAAGGAAAGGTGAGGAAGTGTTTGCCCATCTCGTGGTGCAGCACGGAAGGGTAGAGGAAGTTGGGGTCGAGCCGGGAGGAGGCCGTCCGGCCAGCTGGGATACTTGCCTATGGCCAGGGTCATGGCCTTGAGCTTGCTCCGCACCAGCTTCACCACCATGCTCTTCTGCAGAGGCGTCGACCGGCAGCAGAGGACGGAGCGGCACTGCTTGGCAAGAAAGAGGAATTTGTCCTCCAGGTTTTTCTCGAGAGCGTAGGCCAGGCTTCTCCCATCGATCACGAGGCTGGGACTGCGGCCAGAGGCAGTGGACATGGAGGGTGGGCAGAGAGAGGAGAACCTCATGCTCACTTTGCCCTTGGTCTTCTCAGGGGCTCTCTGGAGGCCTCTGGACTGCACGTAGCGTAGGCACTGGTCTAGCAGGGCTGCACACGCCTCCTGAAAGGGACGTGAGAGGACAGCGCAGTTCCCTCAGAGTCATGCCACAAACATCCCTGCCCTGGCTCAACACCTCTGGAGCTGACGTCTTTCCCTGGGCTGCAGTACCTGCCTGCCCAGAGGCCACCCTCCGGAAATTCAGCCAGAGAGGATGACTTTCCCCATAGAAGAGACTGAACTGGTTTAGGTTTCTCTAGGATCTTACTTGATCGCCCGTGATACAGTGCAGAGGTTGGAATGGACCATCTTCACTTTGGGAGGCTGGACTGTATATTGCAAAATTGCCGGATAGTTAGACTGAGGGCCCTCCATGTACTTCCTGATGGTTCTTGGAGGTCCTTACCTAACTCACCAAGGACCAACTGCAGGACACAGAGCTCTGCAAAAGGCTTTGTTATGATTAGCCCGTAAAGAAATGGAATTTTCAGTATTCTCCTTAAGTTCTCCAATTCAGCCAGGAAAAGAAAAAAAGCACAATTACGGAGGCTTTTAATAGGCAAACTTGATCTGGATTCCTGAAAGAGGAGGAACACCTATGGTGGTAGCAGCACTAGGGACCAGGGGCAGGAGCAGGAGGCACAGGAGGGTCCACAGTCTCCAGGGACAAACACGCTCCGGCGAGCCTGAGCAGCCCCCGATCCTCTGCAGACGGTGAGTCTGCTGACTCAGTGACCAGACACACCACGGAAATCCAGCTGCGTTCAACACACGCTTACTGAGGATCCTTTGGACTCAGAAAACGAAGCCGGACTAGAGAAAAGGAGACTGAAAAGACACAGCTACTGCCATAGGGGCAACAGAGAGTTGATGCACACACACTCATGACTGCAGCAAATCACCAGCCGGGATATGCGAAAGCGTGGAGATGGACAAGAGAGGGAGAGCTTTGCCTCCAAGGCGTGGGGTGGGATACGGCAGGAACTGGGGAAGGCCTGCAGGAGAATGCAGGATGCCATCACAGGAAGTACATGAGCTCCCTGGACTTGCACAACAGTGGAGACGACTCCTCCATCCCGAGCTCCCACTGACTGCAGCCGGCGTGCGGGCAGGACGCATGGGGTCACTACCGTGGAGCTCGGAGAGTGAGCAGCAGCTGAGGGACTGGGAGAGGAGACAAGTGTGCGAAGGACACTGACTGGGTGGTGGGTATGTCACTGTTACTCTGGTGGCCCCTGGCTTGGCCCAAGGCACCAGGGAACCTGGACGTGGGCCCCAGGGCAGGGACAGAGAGAGCTCCAGGAGACACCTTCTGGCTCTGGCTTGAGGAGTGAAAAGGAGGTTCCCAATGCTCTGAGAAGATGAGGAAGTCTGCAGTTTTATTTATTCTTTTTCCTCTATTATTTTAAACCCAGTCCCAGGCAATTTTGCTACCGTGGCTGTGCAGGAATGGCAGTGGCAGAGCCGTCTGCTGCCGCAGACTCCAAGGGAGCTGGATCCTCCTTTCCATCACAGCCTGTGGTGCTCTGTCTTCTATTCTGCCCCCACTTGGTGCTGGACACAGGGGAAAGGCAGGAAATATGGGAAGAAGAGGGTGACACACTCCACCTTTCCTGCCAGAAGACTGAAAAGGGGATTCCTGGGGAACCAGAAGGCACTGGAAAAATTGTAAAGGAGAAGCCTGGCTAACTGACCCCATAATGTTGTTTATGAATTCCTGGCCTCCCCCATAACAAAGCCTTTGAGAGGCAAACTCTGCAACAGACTGCCACCCAAGTTCCAAGGTGACCTCTGGAGGGCAACAATGCAAGACTAAGTCTTATAAACACATCTGCCTTTGAAACCAACACCCAGAACTCACAGCCCAAACCCCACAGGGTTGATCACCTGCTTAACAAAATCCACATTCTCCGTAGAAATTAAAAATGGCCAGTGTCATAACATAATATTCAAAATGCCCATGATACAATCCGAAACTTCTTAGCACACAAAACCAGGAAAATCTTAACTCTGTGGAAAAAGACAATCCACAGAAGCCAACGTCAAGATGACACAGATATTGACATTATCAACAAAGACTGAAACAGCCATTATCCAAATGTTCCAAGAAGTAAGACTGAATGTGCTGGAAATGAACAGAAAGAAAGTCTTGGCCAAAAGAAGGAAGATATTTCGGAAAATCAAATAGAAATTTTAGACAGAAATAATTAACTGAAATAAAAAGCTCACTGGATTCTAAATCATCTATGTAGATACTCTGCCCTCAAGAAGAAAACTGTAACTCCACACTCTTAACTGTGAGCTGTGCACAGTGACTTTCTTCAGAAGAATTCAGTATGGAAGAGGCAAAGAGCACAGTGAATAAACCCGACAATCACAAGGTCAAGCCCAACAGTGGCATGGTGTTGACAGCATGTACCCTCGACAGGATATGATGAAAATGGCACTTGGTCTCTGTGGCTGTCCTCCCTAAAACCCTTAGCTCCACTTCAGTGATAAGAAAAACATCAGACAAATCCCAATATAGGGGCCTTCTACAAAATACCTGGCCAGCGCTCTTCAAAATGGTCAAAATGATTAAAAGTAAAGAAAGTTTCCAGAAGTGTCACCGCCAAGAAGAGTGTAAGGAGGCATGATGACTAAATAAATGTAATGTGGTGTTCTGGATGGGACCCCAGAACAGGAAAAGGACACTAGGTAAAAACCAAGGCAATGTATGGACTTTAGAGAGTAATAATGTATCAGCATTGCTTCTTGATGTGATAAATGTACTAGGCTAATGCGAGATGAGGAACAGAATAAATTACATATGGCAGATATGAGAAATAACTCTGTACTCTCCTCACAGTGTTTCTCTAAATCTGAAACAATTCTATATATAGACTTTATTTTTAAAAACTCTCTGGATGGGCTCAATGGCAGAATAAAGATGACCAAGGAAACAGCCAGTGAAGATCCGCTTCTACTTAATGAATAGCAAATATGTTTTCTCTTCCTTAAGATTTTCTTAACATTTTCTTTTCCCTAGCTTACTTTATTGTAAGAAGACAGCATATAATACATACAATATACAAAATAGGTGGTAATTGACTATTTATGTTATCAGTAAGGCTTCTGGTCAACAGTAGGCTATGAGTAGTTAAGTTCTGGGGGAGTCAAAAGTTATATGTGGATTTTTGACCACACAGAGGAACTGGTATCCCTAATCCCTATGCGTCCAAGGGAAAACTGTACCATAAACAGATGGAAAATAAAAATTTAAAAATACTATTTACAAAACCTCCAAAAACATTGTACAGATGGTCCCTGATTTACAATGATTCAACTTACAAATTTTCAACTTTTGGATGGGTTTATTGGGGGTATTAAATAAATTTTCAACTTATGACATTTTTGACCTATGATGGGTTGACTGGGACATAACCCTGTCATAAGTTGAGGAGCATTGGTGCTTGGGTATGTATCTAACAAAACATGTATGCGATGTGTATGCTGTAAACTATAAAATGCTGATAAAAGAAATAAAAGGAGACTTAAAAAATGTAGAGATATACCAACTGTACAGAATGGAAGATCAACATAATAAAAACATCAATGCTTCCCAAATTGGTTCATAAATTTAACAAAATTCAAATAAAAGTTCCAGCAGGAATTTCTGTATGGGAAAATTAATTTAAAATTCATACATGAAGGCAAACAAGATGACTAGCCAAAACAATTTTGAAATGGAATAAAGTTGGAGGAATAACACTACCAATTTTTAAGACTTATAAAAAACTACAGTAATCAAACTACTACAATGAATCAATACACACGGTATTGGTGAAGGGACAGACAGACAAATCAATGGAACAGAACAGAAAGTCTAGAAACAGACCCACACAAATATAACTAATTGATTTTTGACAAAGACGATGCAACCAAAAAAAGACGCTTTCAACAAATGGTACTGGAGGAACTGGGCAGTCACATGTGGAAAGACGAAGTCTAAGCTAACCCTCACACCTTTCATGAAATGTGATCCAAAATGGACTGCATCTATAGACAAGATGTTAACGTGTAATGCTTTTAGAATAAAACATAGGAGAAAATATTCATAATTAGGCACATCTAAGACATGACACCACATGCATGATCCATACAATTAAAAAAAAAAAAAAAAAGAGGAATCAGACCAGGCACAGTGGCTCAAGCCTGTAATCTCAGCCGAGGCAGGATGATCACTTGAGTTCAGGATTTCAACAACAGCCTGGGCAACATGGGGACACCCCCTCTTCCCATCTCTTAAAAAAATAAAAAAATTAGCCAGGTATGCTTGTGCCCGCCTGTGGTCCCAGCTACTCAGGATGCTGAGGCAGGAGGATCCCTTGAGCCCAGGAGATTGAGGCTGTAGTGAGTCACGATGGCGCCACTGCACTCCGGCCTGGGTAACAGAGTGAGACCTCATCTCCAAAAAAATAAAATAATAAAATAAAATTAAATCTAAAAAGAATAACAATTTATCAAAACTAAAAGCTTTTGTGAAAGACAATATTAAAAAATAAGACAGGGATGAAATATATGCAAATCACATAGCTGACAAAGGACTTGCATACAGAAAACACAAAGAATTCTCAAAACTGAACCTTAAGAAAACAACTCAATTAGAAAATGGAAAAATACTTGACTAGACAATTCATCTAAAAGGATATATGAATGGAAAATAAGCACATGAAAAGATGTTCAACTTCATTAGACACTAGTGAAATGCAAATTAAAACCATAACAAGATACCATTACACACCCATTAGAGGGGCTAGCAGAAGAAAATCAATGTCAATGTGCAGTGCTGGAAAAGATACTGAGCGAAATAGTACAGCACTTTGAAAAGCAGGCTGGTGTCTGCTGATGGTGCAGTTGTGGACCTAAGAGGGGCTGGGGGGACTCTTAAGTGTGGCCCCAGAGAGGCTGTGGTGGCCTTGGCCACACTGGGGAGGAGCAGATCAGCCACAACAAGACGGTTCCCTGCTCCATTCAAGAAGCCTGAAAGCCAGCGCAAGAAGTTTTGAGTGGGAACTCCTGTGAGGACTCAGAGCCCAGACCAGGGCAGTATATGAGGCAGCTATTCCCCACAGCCTTGGGGATTTAAACAGACAAATCCGACTGGATAAGGAAGTCCTCAGTGCCTGCGATGGTCCTGAGGTGGTCAGTGCTAAATGGACCACTGTCCTGGCTCCACTGTAGAAGCACATGGGACCTCACGAGAAAGTTCTCTGATGACTTGGACAGTATGTCAGGAGAAAGCAGGCTAAACTTCGTATTAATAAAGTCCACATGCGCATTCCTTTGGTACTAAGAATTCCAGCAAACTTCACCTCTTCCAAGGCAATAACATGCACGTCCTAAACCTGAACGCAGAGGGTGAGGTCCTTCTCACAGCAGCTGCCAGGAATGAGAGTCTCTGCCAAGGGGACCACGATGAACATGGACCACCCCAGGGGAAGGAAGCAGGGCCACTTGAAACCCACCTACCTGGGACGTGGCGTTCAGGGTGATGACCTCCTCGTCGTGGTCCAGCAGTTTGCAGGCATACGCAATGTTGACGGCGGTTTCTTGTTTGTCACCAGTGAGAACCCAAATCTGCAGGCCCGCTTGACGCAATTTAGAAATAGTTTCAGGGACTCCATCCTGCAGGCGGTCTTCAATCCCAGTGGCACCTGGTCAAATGCACAGCAGTGTGAGCGAACCCGCTTCTCACGTGCGCCCCCAATCCTGCTGGGGTGCAAATGGCATGCACCAGATACACCGAAGGCAGGCACTGGTACAGTCCCTGTTGCCTGGGCCTTGCCTGGGGCTGGGCTGCCAGTTGCCTGCCATGCAGTGACAGGAAGTCCTTTGTGGGACCATTTCAGGACAGTGGTGGACGCTTTTGACTGCTCTCTCGATGTGACTCAGTCCAGAGTGCGTAGGAGTAACTGTGAGTCACTGAGGATAATTATATGTACTTACACCAAAGTACCTCGACTTATCTCTAACTTGTAACTTTACAGATAACCTGAAAGCAAAGCGTATGGGAAGGTGTTGGGAATGACGATTATTTGGAGGGATAAAAATACAGCCTTAAAAATTGCCCATCCCATACAAAGCTTCTGGTGAATGAAATTCAGAATGTCCAGTCTCAACAATGCTTATTACTAGTCACTATAGAAACAGGCTTCACAGGCAAGCCCATTATGTCTTGAAACCAAGATTATCTTAAATATGCTTTTTCCACAAACATAAAGAAGTCGAGAGGCGGGTTTTGCCTTTTTGATCTCAGCATGTTGGGAAAAATCTACTATTGACTGCAGCAATGTGCTTAGGCCTGCCTTGGGTTTTGTTTTGTTTTTTTTTTTTAATCTGTTTACATCTTGGTGAGATGGTTTCTGTCTTCCCCGCTCTGGAAGTAAGCTGCAGCCCCCAGGCCCCGGGTTCGAGCCCTGACTGAGGCTCCTTTACTGCTCGACACCATGCTGTGCCCTGTGCTGGGATGCTGCTATGGACTGAGCGTTTGTGTCCCCCAGATCCATAGGAGGAAGCACTAATCCCCAATGTGACAGTATTAGGATGTGGGGCCTGCAGGAGGTAATTAAGTTCAGATGAGGTCATGAGGATGGGGCTCCCACGATGGGATCAACGTCCTTATAAAAAGAGGCACTGGGGCTGGGCGCGGTGGCTCACGCCTGTCATCCCAGCACTTCTGGAGGCCGAGGGGGGTGGGTCACTTGAGGTCAGGAGTTCCAGAACAACTTGGTCAACGTGGTGAAACCCCCTCTCTACTAAAAATACAAAAATCAGCTGGGCGTGGTAGTGGGTGCCTGTAATCCCAGCTGCTTGGGAGGCTGAGGCAGAATTGCTTGAACCCAGGAGGTGGAGGTTGCGGTGAGCTGAGATCACGCCACCGCACTCCAGCCTGGGACACAGAGCAAGACTCTGTCTTCATCAATCAATCAATCAATCGGCATTGGAGAGGTGATTTCTCAATCTCCCCGTCGTGTGAGGACGCCACAAGGAGGCAGCCGCCTGCAGACCAGGAGGAGCTCCCTCAGCAGACGTCGCTGTCGCAGCCTCCATCTCGGACTTTCGGCCTCCAAAACTGTGAGAAGTAAATGTCTGTGGCTTAAGCCCCCAGTCTGTGGTGTTGTGTGACAGCAGCACAAATGGACTAAGCCGCCCTTACCCCTTCTTCTAGAATGACGGGATGGCAGGCATGGGGAGGGGAAGGCGGAACTGGCTCATCCTGAGGGTCACTTGCACTGTGACAGGTTTCTTCATGTCTGGGGAGGGCAGAGGGATGGTCTTGCCCTCCTCTGTGTGTTCGCAGTAATTCATTCATACTTAAGGATAGTAATAGTGATTACAGAGTAAGCCTAATAATGGCTAACCTTGATGGATTACTGACAATTTGCCAGGATAACGCTTCCACTACAGTGCTTGAAACATAACCCAGACAGTTGCCCACTCTTCTGTAAATGGCAACTTCCGGCCGCAAGGATCTTGTGCGTCCCACCTTCGTATCCCAGCTGCCCAGCTAGAGTCCCTCAGTTAAACGTCTGCCAAGAAAGAAAGCAGGGAAGGCTTTGCCGGAAACTCCCATACGGAGGGTGTCTGTTGTTTCACAGGGAAAAGCTAACACCTTGAAAACAGAACTTCTTAGTTCAGGAGCTAATTGGTCAAACTCATGGGCCTCCCACTGGGTCATCCCACAACCCTCACCTTTATAAGGTGTGAGCCTGAGTCAGGTGCAGACTAGCATTGAACTGAAAAACGGAGTTATGGGAAGGACCCCCACCTTGGCATGAAACACGGCAGAGGAAAGAGTGTCTGCAGGGAGCAGCCTTTCAAGATGATTTGGGGCACAGTAGCTTTCTTCAGCTTTCCAAGGTACTTGTTCGTGACATAATTTATGTGACTCTGAGTAAATGCCACTGTCTTTATGACCTGACCCTTGGGAGGGCCTGGCATTTCTGAGTATCATAACACAGGAGCTGGTAGTGTGCAGAGCCCAGCGTCACTGTGCTTGGTGCCACACAGCTTTGAATGGGAGGGGAAAGGATTTCACCAACAAGGAAGTTTTAGACATTTAGAGAAACTAGCAAGGACGTCAGGGAAAATGAGCAAGACAGTGTCCTTTGAATTTAGGTTCCTGCCCAGAGCATTAAGAAAAAGAAAATTTCAAGAGCATGGAGAGCATGGAGCTCTTTCTGCCAAAGATAGTTATGTATGGTTCTCTGATGCTATTTAAGATAAGCACCTGGGCCTGGTGCAGGGGTGCACACCTGTAATCCCAGCACTTAGGCAGGCTGAGGCAGGAGGATCGCATTGAACCAGGAGTTTGAGACAAGCCTGAGTGAGACCCCATCTCTACCAAAAAAATTAAAAATTCATCTGGGCCTGGTGGCCCACGCCTGTGGTCCCAGATAGTCAGGAGCCCGAGGTGGGAGGATCACTAGAGCCCAGAAATTTGAGCTCACGGTGTGCTGTGATCGCACCACTGCACTCCAGCCCAGGTGGCAGAGTGAGACTCTGTCTCAAAGCTAAAAAAAAAAAAAAAAAGAAAGCACCTTCATGGAAAGACTTAGAAAGGAGTATTTGGCTTTGGAATAGTAAATATAGAAGTGGCTGGCTTCACTTTTCTCAATGAAGCCGAGGAGCTGGAACACAGTGTCCGCGTTTGAGCTGTGTGAACACTAAGGTGGTGGGTGGCTCTTGTACTCTCCGGCTCAGGCCTCGTCATTTGAAACATAAACATACCAGGTAGCAGGAGATGGTAAGTGGTGAACAACCGGCCTGTGGGAGGGAGGCTGACTGACTGCATTTGCTCATTTCTGTGGTGTAAATACTCCCACCTCGGCTGACTTCAATCTACTAACATAGCATCAAACGGCAACGTGAGATTCCTGAACATTTATGTGGGCTACTGCAAAATGCTTCAAAATTTATCCACGGGCTCTGCCAGCAGGCGTGAGCAGGCTCCAGTGCACGGCTGGCACCCATGTGGGCAACCCAGGAGTTCCATCACCAACACATCTCAGAGCCATCCTCATGTGCACTTGGAGGGAAGTGTCACCTAAGGATGACAGCGGGACGTGGTGGAATCAGGGTTTGGAGAAATGCTGATGGCCAGGATCCCTACTCCAATCAAAGGAAGCGGAACAGGGGATCAGAAAACTCTGATTTTAGATCTTCACACAGTTGCCCAAGTAAAAATTACAGAATCCAAGCAAGAAATCCCTGTGAAGAAGACCTAAGATGACTGGATCTCAAGTTCACTATGAGCCTCGGTGCAGCAGGGGCTGTTAATGACTTAGGATATGTTAACAGAGCTACAGCATCCGGGCCAAGAGAGGTGACAGATGCACCATCACCAGAGAGAGCCGGCAGAGGAGAGGCCAGCTGGGTGCAAACGGTGTGGAAGCACCAACAGGAGACTCATCACCGCACAACCGCTCAGAGCCAGGCCCTGTGCCTGCGCCACGCTCAGTGCCTCCCGTCATCCCTTCCTTTCACCCTCACGGGAGCCCGAAACACTGGGATTACCAGCCCCACAGAGCAGAACTTGGATGCAAAAAGGACTGAGCCACAGGCTGCCCAACCAGCCTGCACGACCAGCCTGCCTGGCCAACTTGCACAACCAGCTTGCAGGGGCAGAGCAGGGCTGGACAAATGAGTCAGGGCTCCTGGGCTCTGAGAGCAGGGAAGGTGGAGAAAGGGCAGGCTGGGACTCACAGCCATGTCCCCAGATAGTCAAGGTTTCATCATGCGGAAAAGGGAGGGGATTCTGTCTGCATGACTCCAGGGGGTAGAACCAGCACACACTGTGAAAAGGCACCGGGGGGTCAATTTCCCTCCATTCGAGAAGTTAGTGCTGTCCGGGGGAAAAGCTGCTCCCTGGGGAAGGTGCCCCACAGTGAAGGGTTAAAAGCCAGGCTGGTCAGTGAGGCTGGGCGGGCACGTCTGGGAGAACCAGCAGATGGCTCCTACCCCACAGGCCTGCACAATACTGTCTTCTGGGGAAGCCCAGTCAGTCCAGACGACAGCAGCCCTGTTTTAGTAAGCCAAAACTTCGGGGCCTAAAACAGGCACAGCCATTTCTCAGGTGTTCCATTTAATTCACATCCAGGGCTGCCACTCATGGTGCCACTGGGCTCCTGGATCCCAGGGCTTTCCGAGTAATGTGTGGCCTTCTATAAGATACTATGGGCAAATAATACATAAAATGTGTGCAGATATATGTTATGCCTATATGTACATTATGTTATTAAATGCAAACCTTAACTATGTATTATGCTAGAAATGTAGATATAAATATATAGCTATCCCAACTCCTCTGCCCAGAAAAACAGGGCAGGTGAACACCGCCTTTTTGTGTGAAGTGAAGATGAACTCCTCAGGGCTTTGTGTTCGAGAGGTACCACCTGACCCACAGCGCCCGGGATGGAGGTGGGGGCGCAGCACCCTCAACACCAGCTCCTCGAGGACACACAGAGCACGTATACAGTGACTCAGCTAGTTTAATAAATGCTTTAATAAATAGGAAAATAAATATTTTAAGTATTAAGCAATAACATAAAAAAATCTTCATTTATCACTGATACTAGTTAGCATTTACTAAGTACCAAGATGAACACAGTAGGAAATGTGGACATAGTTCAGAAAAAAATGAGCCCATGTTCTTTTCATCCACCTCGAATCTGTGAAACATTCCTAAGATGCAAAGTGCAGCAGTCTCTGGGTTCCAAAAGTTTCCCTGTTTCCCGAGGGAAAAATCCTTTCAACCCCCAACTGTCAGGAACCTCACTCCTTGTCTCTATTTTTGGTGGGAAAGCAGGTTAAGGGGAAGCATGGCAGCTGCTGTCTTGGGGTGCCTGGCGGGCAGCAGCTGCGCCTCACAGAAACGACACTGGGAGAAGATTCAGGCAAGCACCCTCCCGCCTCGGCTGCACCAGCGTCCGGCCAGGCAGCTCCCTAACCAAGGCCAGCCTGTGGAGCAGCTGCTGACAAGAGCTCTCACCCCTCCAGGGCTGCCCCTGCAAACTCCACGCTGCTCTTAGGCATGCGGCTCGCAAGTTAATTACCTAACAGGTGCAGGTTCGTCTCCAGGCGAATGGCAGACTGGAAGAGGAGCTCCTCGCTGTTTTCCGGGGAGGACTCTGCTTCTAGGTGGCTTTGCAACCAGCAGGCGTACTCTTCTTTACTCAGAACCTGTGGGAGATGCATTGCTGAGTGCTGCGCCAGGTGCTGCTCACTGCGGGGCGCCCACCGGCACAGGCACCCTCGCGGGGCCGCCCCCACTCACCCTCTTGGCGATGCACAAGGTGCGCAGGCCTTCCGCCGCATACAGGTTGAGGTAATTCTGAGTTTTGCTCCGGATCTTTTTTTGATGCCTCCCTCTGGCGTCGACTAGGTTGGAGAATAAGCAGAAACATGGGTAAGACCTGGCATCTGCGGAACGATCTTCAGACACTCTGAGATTTACCCCGTGTCTGTTCGTTACTTGCGAATACAGCACAAGTTTTCATATAGAATTCAAAGCAAAAATGAGCTGTTACTTTTAAAAAAGAATCTCATCAATATGCAAATGTTTGGCTGTTTATTTTATTTTTTCATAGAGACAGGGTTTTGCCATGTTGCCCAGACTGGTCACGAGCTCCTGGGCTCAAGCCATCCGCACACTTCGGCCTCCCAAAGTGCTGGGATACAGGTGTGAGCCACTGCGTCCGGCTGATGTTTGGCTGTTTCTAACAACCTTTGTTGAAATCAGCTCATGAAAATAAAAACTTCATCAAAAGCAATTCGACATCCTTTTGCCCAGCCTATTAAATGGAGGCTCACGTTCTTCCTGTTAATGAAAAGTCTTACTTAATGGGAAGTGCACTTTCTATCCTCAGAACAGTAGGATCCTTACAAGTAGCACTGCCAGATATATAACAAATGATGTCTAAATATGGCATAAGACATACTTTTACTTAAAAAATGATTTATCTGAAATTCAAGTTTAACTGGACATTCTATATATATATACATTGTTTGTGAAATCTGGCAACACTACTGACCAGTTATGAGGCCCCTGGCCCAGGAAGGCTTATCTACTAATCGAAGTCTACCGCCTGACAAAGCAGACCTGGTAAGAGACGCTTTTACGTGCCTGGCCATGCTGCATTCTCCATGGGGGTGACGGAGCCTTCAAGGGAGTGATCACTGGTTCTTGGAGGTGGGAGAATCTTACTCCTTTCTATATAAAGTACACATACAGAACATAAACAGATACACAGCATATCTGTGTTATTAGAAGGCCATGAGGGGACAATTGAAAAAAAAGTCTGAAAAGGCTCTTTATGGAGTTGATAACGGGGAAGAAAAAAAGTTGCCCTGGGATCCTTTGCTTTAGGTATTTACATTTCCTGAAAGGATGATGCTCAAACTCATCTTTGTATTCCTGGTATCATGGTAACACTCTTAGAAGACGCAGATAACCTTTTCCCAGAATCAGATTGTTCTTCGAGCAAAGCCATGCCTATCTGAGGGGCTTTGGAAATGAAACAGTCATGATAAAGCTGTCCCACTGTTCCGGGCAGAGGCGACATGTGGTGTGCACTGGGACATGTGGTGGTACTGGGTGTGACACTGAGATTAACCACACTTTCCAAAAACGAAACAAACCGAGCCCACAGAGGGGGGACGGGCCACTCGGGACCCTGGGTGCCCCAGACGAGGAGATGGCCCCACAGGCGTCTGCTTCTCAGGAAGACACTGGGGTGTTTCTGTGCAGGGCCATCTGCACAGGGCCTAGTGACAGGGAGCACTTGGCCCTGCCAGGCAGAAGCGGCTGAGCCCGTCGTCCCCTCCTGCAGACATGGACACACACCTGTGCCCCTTCTGGCAAGATCTGCGCCTTGTTCTTGGGTGACTTTTCCTTTACACGTCTTGCTGCACCTACCACTGAGCAGTCACTGCAGAAAACCGAGGCTGGACTTTGGAGGGTGGGGCCCTTGTGGAGGCTGGGATCTGTCTACACTCTGATGGAGGGCAGGAGAGGATGGGAAGAACTCAAGCTCCAAGGAGACCATCACTGAGGAGCTGGGGGAACCTCCGAAGGAGAACGTACTGGGGAACGAGAGTGTGGATCCCCAGAGGCATTCAGTCAGACCCGCTCTTCTCCACCTGCTGGAGTGACGCTGGGGGTGGCTGATTTCAGGCTGGAGGCATGGCAATGTTCACACTGCATTTTTGGCGATGGTCATGCAATATTAGCCCCTTCTTTCTGATGTTCCACAGCCAGCCAGGTCCTGTGTGTCTCGTCTCCCTATGGCGACAGGAGGAATTCTGTGCCTGGAACTCAGCTCCTTGGGTGAGGAGTGACACCACCCGCAGGAGCGGGACCAGTGCTGCCCGGCGCCCCCTGCTGGGTGGGGACAGCCGAGAGCTCTGTGCCGCAGCCCCCTGAGGCCGCATCTGGGTGGGGGTGGACCGGGCTAAGCACACAGCTCCAGGCACAGTCTGCAAAGATGACTCCGGTGCCCACCGACTCAGACACAGCAGGGCCGAGACAGCTGCGCCTGGCAGTGGGCTGCACCTGATATCCCCACCGGGAGACAGCTGGTGAGCAGTGCTTGCAGCCCTGCAGAGGCCCTCAGAGGGATGAGGGTAGCCTCTCTTCGTGATTTTACCATGTGTTTTAACGTTGCTCCAAGTGATACTTCCATTTCTTCTAAGCTTTACAAGCGATATTTCCCCAACAAGGAGTTATCTGATTAAAATGGTAAACTAAGGTGCAGTCCCTGCTTGTACATGCATGTACTCGTCATAAAAAAATACGTACTGATTACTGCATGGCAGCAATGTGTGAGGCCCACACTAGGCAGTGGGCTAAGGCCAACCCTCTGTCCTCGCTCTGAGAGATGGCAGACTGGCTTGAGGTTTACGCCTTAAAGACCACACAAAGTAGCAATGCCACCAAACCACAAGCAAGTGAATCTTAACGGGAAGGAGCCAGAGACTTGGGAAGGTACCGAGTGGATGCTGGACATCTACGTGACAGAGGGCACTCAGCTAGGGGCTCGTGTGGGGACTTCCCATGAGAGGTAGGCACTGTGATTTCCTTTGTAGATGGGAAACGGAGGCACAGAAAGAGTGAGTGACTCGTCCAGGGTCATCCCAGCCAGTAAGTGTAGACCTGGGATTTGAACAGAGATCTGTGAGAATGGGTTGCGGTGGAGTCCCTGCTTGTTGCCTGACACCACACCTGCCAGGGCAGGTAAGCCGTGGCCGCATCCTCCTGATGTAATACAGTCACGCCCACTATCTGCTCAGCCAACTCGGGCTTCTTCTGGTGAAAATGTTTTGAGCCCTCTAAAGAGGGCATCAGATTAAGTCCGGAGTGGGACAGCTCTGTGCCTTCCTCAGTTTGTCACCTACACACAGGTGATAAATTGATCTACGTAGGTGGTAAGTTGATCTGCACAGGCAGAGCGATCGCCAGGCACAGTGAGTCCTCTGTAATGAGTCTGCACCAGTCCACATCCCTCCACCACTCCCCAAGTAAAAGGCAAACGATCTGTGCATAAGGGGGGGTGGTCACAGGTGGGTAACTTCAAGGGGACTCCAGGGCCATGCTGTAGTCATTCTCTTGGGAAACCGCTGGGATCTCTGAACTTCCTGAACCTTAACCTGCCCAGTGTTGACACGTAGATCTTCCTTATCCGAACCTGACTTCGTGCACTGCTTGAAAATTCCCAGAGGAAGCCAGAGATCAACGCAAGCCCTTGATTAATTTTCCCCATCAATCTCATGGTTTTGATAAGGAGAGAGCTGTGACAATGTCATTACCTGGCCTTTCCATGATGCCATGGATTTCAGGTCCTTTTTCTTATCTGCGGTTACCTGGTTATGGGAAGCTCCCTTCCTGAGAGCCACAGCAAAGCCACGCTGACGATGCCGGGCCTGAGAGGCTCCCCGGCCTGGGTAGGGGCTCCCCGACCCCGACTGTGAGGTCGATTCTGAGTCAGAGGAGAGCAGCGTGGATGGTCTTGTGACCGGCATCAAGGGCCTTCCCAACTTGCAGACGAATGAGGAAATCCCTGGCTCACTCAGGGGCCCGTGGAGGCCAGGCCGCCACTGCTCCTTCTGCCATGGCCTCGGTGTCTGCCAGTGAACAGGGAGGGGAGCCCTGCCTCCTGATAAGCTCTATCCACCCTGGTAAGGTACCAAAAAGCAGGGGTAGAAGAGTGAGCAGGTCATGATGCTAAATTTATTCAATCGAAAGGCATCCAGTTTTCTGGGATATCCTTGGTGACTTTTTGGGGGGGACAGGGTGGATGTGAAATCTCGTCCTTCTTTTATGAAATGACGGCTGATAGTATTAGCGACACGTCATGACAGCAGTTCTTTTTGTCTGTGTTCTGCTTTTGAGGTTTTCTACTCATGTAAAAAAACACGTTGCCAGCAAAGTACAAGCCTGGCAACTGCTGTGGCCTTCCTCGCACAGCTTACAGGGCTCCCTGCTCTACAGGCTGGGACAGGCCTCACCTGCCAGCGCCAGGCAGCCCCCACATGCCAGGGCCACTCCATGCCTTCCCCTTAGACATCACCCGTCATGCTGTGAAGTCTGAAGCCCAGGACCCCTTCAGTTGTCTTGAACCCAAGGTTGTGGAATAAGACAGAGAGAGTTTTTTGCTGTAGAATGAAATCACTCAGATAACTGCCCTGTTTATGTTTTTCTCTTGTGTGGATGTAAACAGGAATCCATTTTCTGAAGAAGCAGCTTCCTAGAACTCAAAATCTGTCCATGAATTGGATTCTTTGCCGACTCCAGGGCAGAGACCCTGCAGCAGGAGAAAGGCGAAATCTCGCCCCGCAATGGCTGTCATCGTGGAAGGTCATCCAAACTCCTCTCAGAGACACATCTGCAGATTCAGCTCAGCTGCCTTTTGGAGGTCACAGCTCTGCGATGGGGACGTGGATTTCCTGTATGAAGTTCTTCCTCCCATCCAATTCTCCATCATGAACGGTCCTGGGCTTCTGTGCCAGGGGTCCTGTCCTGGGGCACTGAGATGCTGGCAAGAAAGGCCAGTGGGAGGTGAAGTACTCCCTAGCTCCAACTCGGAGCTCCAGAAGGGAGCATCTGGCTGATAGCGTTTCCCAGCAGCTGCTGCCCAGAGCTGCTTCCAGGGTGCAGAAAACAGGAAGCCTGTGGCAGGCAGTAGAGCCTCAGTGGGGCCCCTAGGCTGCTGCAGCATCCTCACCTCCACCCAGCTCAGTTCCCCGGAGCTGAGGCTGCACTTCTCCATCCTCTGAGCACAGAGGGAGAGGTGGGTGGCCAGGTTCGCTTTATGAGAGGCGCTTGACCCTTCCCCTCCCAAGTGCCAGAACAGAGGGCAGTGGGTGAGGCCGGCATCCCTCACTTCCTGGGCCCCCACCGTGGCTCCAGGCAGCCCACAAACCGTGGCCTGGATCTCTGAGCTGCACTAGAACTTTCCAGAGCTACTATCTAGATTCTCACCCTTCATCGTTCATATTTAAAACCTGACACTCTCCAAGTATCCTCTGTCCCCCTAGTTCTTGGAGGTGGGGGTGTCCAGGCACGGAAGCCCCCTGAATACTTTCTAGTCCAAACCCTTCAAACAGGCAAACAGTGATCTGAAGAAACCGTGCAATTCTCTGATGGGCACTGCTTTTGGAAAAGGATTAATGAAAATCACTTTACTTAAGAGAAGGAATTGGGTGGGGATATTTATCAGGACTTCCTCCCCGGAGCCGGGGTGCAGCTGGGCAGGGGTGGGGGTACCTGAAGAGCAGGGCTGCAGGAGATCCATGACCACTGAGTCGGCCCCCTTGGTGTAGACGTTGATCTCATTGGTAAGCGGGTGCCGGATCACCACTGACATCCTCTTGCGGATGGAGTCGAAACCCAGTGTGTGCAGGAGGTCGAAGGTGAGCCTGCCCAGGTGGGGCAGCTCCACAGACACTTGGTCGTGCAGCCGCTCCACGAGCACGCAGTTGTAGGCTCTGGCCGCATACACCAGCGCCGCCTCATCCGGGCTCTCGGCCTCGTACCGCAGCTCACGCTCTGGCTCCTGCTCCTGGGCAAGCTCCGAGGCCCAGTCATCCGCCTGGCTGCTGTAGCCGTTGCTGGTGATGGCCGAAGTGGGCTGGCCCAGGCTCTCCAGCCTGAGAAGCATGCCATCGCTGGACGGGGTGGACAGGAAGCTGGAGCCCGACTTGTGGTTGGACTTGTTGGCGGCCAGGCTCCCGATGCTGCTGCAGCCAGAGGTCAGGCAGCTGGGTGTGAACCTCCGCAGGAAGTCCTCTATCGTCTTCACGGGGGACTTCAGCTCAAACCTCACCCTCACCTGCAAGAGAAATGGTCAGAAGGCAGGTGAGGGAACTGCTATGTCCCCCAGAGGCCCCACCCTGATTCCCACAGGATGCTCCAGGCACTTGGAGGAACAATGGTGTTGACTTCCCCACGGGGTCTCAGAACATACATTTTCTATTTCCCAGATTTCAGGCATGCATTGAAATTGCAGGCAGAGACAGTATTCCTGCCTTGAGATCCTCCGTTGGCCTCTTCTACTTCTCTTAAGCAAAGGTTATGCAACATTCTTTCAGAACGTGATTGCTGAGGGCCCATCAGTGAGGCCCTGATGTATGTAGGGGAGTTGCAGCTGGTGGCATCTGCTGGCTTCATTTGGGGCTGTCCCTGTACTACAGTGTCCCCTTGCTTTGCAAAAAACAGCTCAGAGGAGCAGGCTCACCACTGCCTGGCACAAAACTGGGTATTTTTTTCCAATTAAAAAGCCATTTAACAAACCATCAGCTCATACTTCCTTTGAATTATGTCTATAAGAATTTAATATACAAATCACATTTCCAGTCCCCAAATAATCTTTCTAAGCACATTAAATACACTGACAAATTGAGGATCCCAAACATGGAAACAATATTTTAACCACCACAGTAAGAAACAAAATGAGTTACACACATACACACACACACACACACACACACACAAACTGTTAAAGTTTCAAAAAGCTCAATGATAGAGCAACAGAGCCATGTTTTTTTCTTGCTCTTTATTGAAAGAGCAAATGTCAAAACAACCAAAATATTGAATTAGCAATTCTTAAAACCGCAATTTTACCCTTGCATCCTAAGTTCTGAATTACAGTAACAGCCTCCAGAAAAGTCAGGTGTTTGGTAAAGCAAGGCGCACAGAGCCAGATTTTGATACAGGTGCTTTTCCTTTGGTCTTGCCATGACTGTAAATATGCTACATAGCCAGCTGGGAGACACAGGCACCCACATGGCAATCCCTGCTAGCTCCAAATGTCCTCGAAGGTGGCGCTCACCAACCAATATATGGGAACAAAAATGTACCCAGAGACATGTTCACCTGCAGCCTGAGTGTGGGTGACTGACAGGCTGTTCCCTAGGTGGAACTCAAGTCGTGTAACCTTCAGCATAAGCCTCAATGACGCTGTGGTCTCTCACCCTTCATTTAACATCTGTCAGGCAGGGTCTAACCCGAAAAGGGGCACTTCTGCAGGGATACACACCAGAAGGGTTTTTAATGCTGAGGGCAGAGCCCAGAGGCAAGATGGGAGATGCTGAGGCAGCCAGGAGATGAACTGTGGCTTCAGGAAGGAGCTCCAGCCCAGGGCTGCCAGCATAAGCCTCAAGCCTGCTGGTCTCTGAGTGGCAGGCCTGTCCATTGGTGTCACTGGGTCCAGGTACTGCCAGACACGCTGCCGCAGCAGAGAAAATACAGGCCACCTTGTTCACCCCACATCACCTGCTGAGGAACCTGCTCCAAGGGCTGACCCAGGAGGCTGGAAAGGGATCCTGGGAGAGTTGGGAGCTGGGAGGTCTATGACACACACGCACCCCATTCAAACATTCAAAGCTGCCTGGTTCCATATGCATATCGCTTCCGTGCCCCCCACACTGCCTAGCCCACCGCAGGGCTTTCTGGGGTACACTGGGTGATAGAGGAGCCTTCACACATACAACCTTTCCTCTCTTGGGAGAAAACCTTAATGTCAGACTGAACCAAAACCAATTTGAGCATTGCTATATTTCTAGTATCCTAAGTAGCCTCTCATCAATTCTCGACTGCTTCTCGTTGAAGAACAATCTTCGATGCCCCCATAAATCCTCCCCATGGCCCAACGGCCCAGACAGGCACCCCGGGCACAGGGAGGAGGTCGATGCGTCTCCGCCTGCATGGCTGGTAGAGTCAGGGTCCACGTGCAAGTTCCTCATCCCAGAAGCTGGGCCCCGGCCTGTCTTGTCCTCTCTCCTGTGTGGATCTGGGACCCTGAGGCTCAGAGAGGTTGTCCTGGGCAGCCTCCCTCCAGCCCTGCCCCAGGCCAGGCAGCGAAGGAAGGACCCAGGCAGGCAGGGCCTCCACATACCCACCTGCCTACCTGAGGCTGGCCTAGCTGGCTGCCCTGTGTCCCTCCCGTCCCAGGCTCAGAAGGCATCTCAGGTGGGCTGTCCCCTCCCACTTGGCCCCAACCAGCCCCTGCCCACTGCAGCCCGGGACTGACGCCGCAGAACCACAGCGCTGTTTTTCTCAGTATGAAGTGTCCGTTGCATCCGCCCTAGGTCAGGATGTGCTAAGAGCACTTGCTGCAGGAAAGGGCCGGGCGCTTGCCCTCAGGAGGACTGACAACCATGGCCCGCAGTGCAGAAGGTCAAGGTCAAGGTGAAGCTCAGGGACCCTCCAGAACTTGCCTTTGTTCGTGGCTGATCCGGGCACGTGACGACGACTGTGTTGCAGATGGTGAGTGCGATGAAGAAATCAAAGATGTCAGACAGCTCGGGCGAGAGGTGGGCCAGTGGATGCTCCTGGTGCCTCGCCACGGCTAGGCTCTTGTCACACTCGCTCACCTTCTCCAGCAGCTTCGGGTCAGGCGTGATGTCCTTCTCCTGGGGAGAAAGGGAGGCTGGCAGTGAGTCCCACCCAGTAGTCTGCCGAGGGTCTTGGGGCGTGACTATTTAAGGTGCTTTGATTTTATCATAAGCTGTAAACAGAACTTCATCTCTAATATACATATATGTCGTTTTATAATTGTAAATTACTGATGATTTTAATTGCACAAAATATACATAACTTCTATCTACTTTGTGAAAAACATGCTTCAGCATTGCCCTGTAGTCTTTTCACTCTACATTTAAATTTTTCGTAATCAAAATATTTTATGTACATATTGGTGGTTTCCATTTTCTCCAAAACATTATTAATTGTCTGAAGTTTTCCAGGCTTTTAAAAATCATTTAAAAACACATTTAAATGGACATGTCATCATTTATTTGACCGTCTCTTTATCACTGGATACTTAAATTTCTTTCAGTTTTGCTGATGTAAATTACACATTGATAAACTTCCACATGTAGCAATCCTTGGCTGAATCGCGAAATTGCTAGAGGAGAAAGTTTGAATACTTTAAATACTCTTGACTCATATTGAAAAATGCCGTCAGGAAACCTCGTTCCAATGCAGTCTCCCTCCTGCCAAGCGTGAGAGCCCCCGAGGGGACAGCGTCCAAAACTCTAGATCACCTCTATTTAGATGGCAGCTTCTCCGTGGGTTTAGGAGCACATGAGAGAATGAGGCCACCACAGAGCGAGCAAGGGGGATTCTGCCCCTCTGCTGTGCTGGTGAAACATGTCGGAAGTGAACGCCTCTTTCAGAGGTCATTGCTCACTTCTGCGCCCCTCCCTGCTGGATGAGGGTGGTCCATTCATGTCTGGGCGGCTGACAAGGCCAGGCGGAAAGTATTTTATGGATTTGGGCTCGTCTAATTAAAACTCCCTCGGGAGGGGTTGGCTTTGCTTTTTAGCAGTTGTCATCTTGTCCTGAGGTTTTTATTTGCTTCATTTGGCAGCACCGGCTTCCTCTTTGTCACCCTTTCTGGGTGAGTCGCCAGCAATCAACCAGCCTTAGAAGCCGTGGCAAAGGGGCCCTGTCAGTGTCTTGGAAAAGACAACGGTGGAGAGAAAGTGTTGGCCAGAAAAGCTTCTGCTGAGTAGAGCCAAGCCGCCCAGCAACAGTGTATTTGTAGGATTAAATACAGACACCTTCCACCAGCGGGGGGGATGGTGACAATGGGGAAGGGACGTGGCAGCGCCCTAGCAGGAGGCCCCGTACACTCACCATGGGGCTGCTGAAGGCTGTGTGTTTGGACAGCATGCTGGCCCTCTTGGCCTCGGCCCGGCTGCCCGTGCGCCGGTGGGACTTGGTACTCTGGGTTCGGTGCACCACCCGGACACTCTGGTGGCTCCCGATGCTGCCGCGCTGGGACACCGAGCCCCCTCTGGGCACCACCTCTTCCTCCTCCGAGTCAGCCTCCTGGTACCTGGCCAGACGCTGCGCTGTGGGGAGAGGGCGCAGGGTGAGGCATCGTGGGGGAAGGCTGGGAGGACAAAACCCATTCAGGGTGTTTTAGGTTCCACGAGGCTTCCGGCAGGGCAGCCCCAGAGGATTCACCACCCTTGATCTCTAATAGCAAGGGACAGAGAACATCTTCAGTTAGCTGTAACCTGGGGAGGTTGATATTCTCAACTGTTTCACAAATGAGAAGACTGACTTTCATCTCAGAGAACGTAAGGAGCTTTCTAAGGTCGCATGACTTAGGGGAAGGGGAACGGGTGACGTCCAGCTGGTTTGTTCAGGTAGAGCCCAGGTGTACATGGGGTAGGGTGGCAGGTGGCTGGAGGAGGGAGGCAGGACAGAGGGTGGCAGGCCTTCCAGTCATGCTGGAATGACCGTGCTCGCTTGGTGCTGAGCTCCTTGCCCATATGGACGGTGGGCACCATCTGCCCCTGTCTGGATGAAATGCTGTGGCACGGGGGGCTCACTCTCCTAGACTGCACAGCTTGGACCCCTACAGCCAGCCAGCGTTTGGACTCAGCTTTGAAATTCCATCCAAGGGGATCTTGACTGTGATGTCGCTCAAAAGCCTGTAGAGGCCCCTGCTGAGCAAATTCCCCATGACCCCGTGAACGCAGGGCGAATCCCCTGCAGAGGTGGCTGCACCGCGGCTTCTTGCTAACCCATGGCTCTGAACCAGGCTTCTGGGTTTTGCCCAGTGAGGACAGCTTGTTTCACCGTGGATGAGCAAAAAGAGGACCATTCATGAGCTTTACTCATCAGAACAAGCGTTTCATCAGAACGTCAAGCACAGGCACGGTGCTGAGTTAAAGCTGCAGGGGCCTGTCAAGAGGCCGGAGAAGGAGATGCCTGTGGAGTTGGCCAGCCGCGTGGACCAGGCCCTGTACCGCACATCTCTTAACAGGCCCTCTGTGAGAGCTGAGGAAAACGGGGGATAAAAAAGGGGAAGTCACCTGCCCACCGTCACGAGGCCGAGTACTTGCCAATGCCAGGATGCCAACTCAGGGAGATCCTCATTCCAGGAGCAGACGTCCTGCAGACGTCTCACCAGCTCTTGGGTGATATCAGCCCAGTGCACCGTAAGCAAGGCACATGACTCTGTCCAGCATGAAGTGAGGGGCTGGGCTTCAGCCTCCGGGAAAAGGGACCGGCCCGTCCCACCCTCCCCCAGCAGCGCTCCCGCACATCCGGAGCTCCATGGAGCCATCCTTCAGGGCCCCCTCCTTCCCTCGGAGGCTGTGGGGGCCATGGCTGGTGTGTTGGTGTTCTGATTGGCAGTGGCCCCAGGGCTGCCTTCCATGCCCTCAGGGAAGATGAGGCCCAGGAGCAGGTAATGTTCCCTCCTAGGCGTGCACAGCCGGTCAGCTCCAGGTCATCAGGCCAAGCCGTCAGACGGGGTACACCCAGGACTTCCACAGCCGGTTCTGGTCCGTGAGCAGAGCTTGGGGTTCAGAGTCCATCTGAACTCCTTTATGAGGAAGATTCGGAGAGGTCAGATCGTAGGATAACTGGCTGATGACGCTCCTTGCCTGGGTGCCTGTCAGCAGCTGATCCAGGCACTTCTCTAAAACACGCTGCTGAGGCCCGCGTGGTTTCATTTATCACCAGGAAGCCCCCTGTGTCTTGAGGCAAGGAAACCCTCTGGTTTTACGGTAGCATTTGGCAATTGTCAGAATCTTTCTGTAATCTTAGTTGGGATCCTACCCCCGGGAGCCTGAGCTTCCAACTTTATTATTATCTTTTAAATTTATTATTACTATTATTACTAACAGATAAATCAGCATTGTATACATTTACGGGCTGCAATGTGACGTTCTGATATATGCGTACAATGCGGCATGATTAAATCACGCGAATTAACAAATCTATCACTTTACTCACCTATCATGCTTTTATGGTGAGACAGTTAAAATTTACCCTCTCAGTCATTTTGAAATGTGTAATACATTCTTATTGCCTCGGGTCACCCGGCTGTGCAACAGATCTCAAAACCTATTCCTCGTGTCTGTCTGAAACTGGGTCTCGGCTTTAAGGGCTGCTGCAGAACCCACTGCCCGGATGTCGGATCCCCTCAGGACCCTGCTGAGGTCTGTTTCCGAGAAGAGCACACAATGCACTGTGCTGCACCAGGTTTAGCAACTACGGGAGGGAAGGGGAGGAAGGAGGGAGAGGAGAGGAGGGTAGCAGAAGGGTAAAAAGGAGGGGGAGGCCGAAGGAGGCTGGTGGGAGGGAGGATGGGCGAGTGGATGGAGTACTGTCACCGATCATCTATTCTGGGTCGCAAATAGAACTTTAAACAAAGTGGGTAATTTCCTCTGCCTTCTGTTTACTATGACTGCTTCACTTTATGTTGAGGAAGATGGTGGCTATCATGATAATCCTTGGTTTTATAAAACTCACAAAAGTGTCAAGTATTCGACAGAGGCCTCCCACTAAATCCTTCTAAAGAGCAGCTGCCTAGTCACGCCCGCTTGCATTCCCTCTGCCCGGTTTTAATTTGCTGTTTCCATAGCATGCACTCGGCTTCTGTCACAGGCAGGAAATGGACCCCAGGCTGCAGTGCAGGGTGCGCACTCCCAAGGCGCTGCAGCCCCAGGCATAGCCGTGGCGGGGACCCTGGTCCACACCCTCTCCTGGCTGGGGCGGGGTGCTGGCTGCAGTCACACCCTGGGTTTCGGAAGCTGGTGTCTCCCCAGAGGCACCAGGTTGGAAGGAGGCAGCCACAGATACGGAAGGGAGAGGTGGGAGTGGGGACCGCTTCAATAATTGGGAGTGAGGCGATTCATCTTTCCAGTTCCCAGGAACACTGTTCCAGGGGAGAGAATGAAGCATGAATTAGCCAGTGCCCTTCTGAGGATTTTATGACTAGAAAATGGATGGGTGACAACAGAGACATCTCTTTGTCCCTTGGTGTGGCAGAGCAAGGGAACCGGATGCCTTGGAAGGTGGCAGAGCAAGGGGGCCGGATGCCTTGGAAGGTGGTCGAGCAAGGGGACCGGATGCCTTGGAAGGTGGCAGAGCAAGGGGGCCGGATGCCCTGGAAGGTGGCAGAGCAAGGGGGCCGGATGCCCTGGAAGGTGGCAGAGCAAGGGGGCCGGATGCCTTGGAAGTGAGCTCCTCGCGGGTGGTTTGCCTGGTTGCTTGGCGGATGCCTGGCACCCCAGACACTGCAGGAACAGGGCGGGCGGCTGTGCCAGTGCCTACTCTATAAATAGTACCAGGCTTCAGGCACCTGAGCTGCTCTGACAGCCACGTCTTTATACTCCCTTGAAAATCAGTAATCCCTGAAGCCTGTGGGGTGTGTGTGAGAGTGTGTGTGTGTGAGAGTGTGTGTATATGTGTGTGTCTCCAAGCAGCTCTGGATAGAGCAGCTTTCTGGTTCAGCCCGGGTTGAGAGCCCCACACCTCCAGACTCACCATTTGCATCATGAGAATATTCTACACCAGACACGGTGCATCTTCGGAAAACCATCTTATTCTCTGTCAGAGTGCCAGTTTTATCTGAGAAAATGTACTGTATCTGCCCTAAGTCTTCCGTGATGTTCAAAGCTCGGCACTGCAGCTGCGAGTCTGTTTCTTCGTCATACAACTGTACGTCCTGGTTAATGAAGTACACTTGGCATGCTTTAACAATTTCAATGGAAACGTATAAGGAAATTGGGATCAAAACCTGGAAGAGACAAGGCACACAGGACGAATGACCGTGAGGACCGGGGAGCCGGGAAATTAATCTATTTAAATAACAAATGACTACAACTGCAAGGAAGTAGGGACTATACTGTACCTTGAAGAGCTTAAATAGCCTGGTTTAGAGTCAATATTGGAAAAGCATTAGAGTATTGGCAAAGAGAATAAACTAGGACAGCTTATGGAGCAGCTGCAGAGCAGGGATCCACTATCGTGTCTGGAAGTATGGTACCCATGGCTTGGATAGAAGCAAGCAAGTTGTGCTTGAGAGAGGCTAGGACAGGAAAGAGAGAAAAGAGAAAAAAAGTCATGGCACAGTCAGTCCTCATAAGCAAGGTCACCTCACACCACACTCCACGGCGGCATTCGACCCCCGGGCTTTCCCTGAGCTCCCTCTCCCAGGACTACAACCCCAAGTTCCGGGGACAGTGCAAACAGCACAGTCGTCCTTCAGATGCCGGTTCTGTGCTCTTCTTGTACAATGCAGAGGCAAGGGAAAGAGGCTTTGAGAAAAATATTCAGTGATGCCTTCATAATTTAAGAACAATTCTCCTCGAAAATAATGTTTACTTACTCATTTATTTTGGTAGAGTAACAGTATTGAACTAATGTTTACACACTCAGAATATCATCCACAGACTAACTGGGTTCTCCTGGGAACTGAAGTACGTTAATGAAACACCAACTGCAGTCCTAACTCAAGGCTAGAACAAAATTTGCATTTTTTAAAAAACTAATTTAGACAGTTAAATAAGACTGTTTCCTGTTGTATGAAGCACATATAAGCGACAGCACAGGTTCCCTCCTAGGCAAAGCCTGAGCCAATGTCCTCTGGTCACTCAGTTCCCAGGAAGGTTGGTGGTAAACTCACTGCCCCCTCGTCCTCTGGACTCTGGGACCCTCCCCACTCTTTCACAGACCTTTCTGGACATAGATAGCTAGTCATTGACTGGGAGGCGTCAGGGAGGCGTGCAAATTAATAATAATAGTAAGAATAACAAGTGCAGACAAATGCAGTGTGGATAACCTCAACTAAATCCCAGAGCAGAAAAAGCACATTTATGGAAGGACTAGTGGGATCTGAAAGAAGTCTGGAGTTTTGTTCAAAGCAAAGGACTAGGCCAGGTGCAGTGGCTCACGCCTGTCATCCCAGCACTTTGGGAGACCGAGGTGGGTGGATCACTTGAGGTCAGGAGTTTGAGACCAGCATGGCCAACATGGTGAAACATCATCTCTACTAAAAATACGAAAATTAGTCAGGTGTGTGGCATGCCCCTGTAATCCCAGCTACTCTGGAGGCTGAAGCAAGAAAATTGCTTGAACCCACGAGGCAGATGCTGCAGTGAGCCAAGATCGCACCACTGCACTCCAGCCTGGCAACAAAGCGAGACTCTATCTAAAAAAAAAAAAAAAATGAAAAAGAAACAAGAAAAAAATGAAGCAAAGGACTAAAGTTGGCTTCTTAGTTTTCACAACGTACCATGACAACGTAATATGTTCACATTAGGGAAAACTGGGTGAGGGATGTATGGAAACTCTCTGTAAAATTTATTTAGAAAACTAGATTTTATTTTGGAATAATTTGAAGATTTACAGAAAAGCTGCAAAGTCTTTGCAGCTTTTCTGTAAATCTTCAAATTATTCCAAAATAAAATCTATTTTTTTTAAAAAAGTAACCGAAAGGAAAAACAACAAAACGAAAACAATGACCCAAACCAAACCCTCAAAGTACAAGAATCTTAAGAACAGAAAAGGAAAATTTTGACTTAAAAATCCCCCAAGGAAAGATCCCATAGATGATTTAGGCTGAAAAATAAAAGGCAGAATCCAGGCGGATATATTTGCTGTCCTCCCAGATGCAGAATTTATAGGAAATTCTGAACAGAGTATGATGATTTTAAGTTCTCTTCATAAAAGTAAAGCAATTATTGTACAACACTGAGTATTGTTACCTGCAGGACTATTATCATTGTTAAAAATGAGTAAACTGCAGCTGTGACTGGGGATAAGGAGCTTCCATCGGATGTGGGGACATAAAATAATGACTTCTTCTCTTGATACCGCCATATCCACAGTCCATGTCCTGTAGTAAAGTTCAAAGAGAAATGTCATTCATCCAATGGAAAAATAAGAACATTGCTAGCGTATATTAAAGCAAAACTTGAATATTTGTTACCTGACGCAAGCACATTTGGTTTTCTTAGTCAGCTTTGCCATGTCAGAAAGCGAAAACACACAATGTTCTTGGCACCTTCGATCGAACTTCAGGAAGGAGGTGGGACTTGGTCTTTTCCTCACACTAAGAGTTTCCCATTGTTGGTGCTAAGTGGCACCACTTGTCCCAACACAAGCTACCCGTGTGTTGGCAGCTGACAGTGTGAGGCACCAAGACGGAATTTCTTAACACGCATCTCACGAAACACCAGTCTCATGAAATGCGCAGCAAAAACAGTCAGTAGGCTCGGACACTGCCATTATTGCCCTTTCCTGAGATTCACAATTCACATATGGGAGGCTCTGGGAAGCCAACAGTAGTGCACATTGCCTAATCCACTGGACCCGCACCTGTCTGGTCACGGAACCTTTTTCAGGTCCCGTACATCTGTATCTCATGCCACTGGGCTAAGACCACCTCACACCCACTTGGTGTGGCCCCACATGGAACCTAACTGCTAGCCCCTTCTTACGATTCAAAGCCATTTTTTTGTCTCTCTTTTCATGAAGTTCCCATTAGTAACATTTGTGCTTCTCCAGCTATTAGCCTTAGTTCGGCACCAGCTTACTGATACTTATTCCCCTGAAATTACCACCACTGCTGTGATGAAAGCATTCTTCCACTAAGAAATCGTCAATTCAGAAAATAACGTTACAGTCAGCCCTCAGTATCTGTGCGTTCCATATTCATGGATTCAACCAACCGTGGACCAAAAATATTAGGAGAAAAAAATTCTATCTGTGTGTATTCCCTAAACAACACAGTATAACTATTATTTACACGACATTGACATTGTGTTAGGCATTGTAAGTAACCTAGAGGTGACTGAAAGCAGGGGTCCCTAACCCCAGGCTGCGGACTGGTACTGGTCCACAGCCTGTTAGGAACTGGGCAGCACAGCTGGAGGTGAGTGGCAGGCGAGTTGCATTCCCACCTGAGCTCCGCCTCCTGTCAGATCAGCGGCAGTATTCGATTCTCACAGGAGCACCAATCCTGTTGTGAAATGTGCATGGGAGGGATCCAGGCTGCACGCTCCTGATGAGAAGCTAACTGGTGCCTGATGAGAAGCTAACTGGTGCCTGATGAGAAGCTAACTGGTGCCTGATGATCTGAGGTGGAACAGTTTCATCCCTAAACCACATCCCCTGCTACCTCCACATCCGTGGAAACATTATCTTAGAAAAAAACCAGTCCCTGGTGCCAAAAAGGTCGGGGACTGCTGACTGAAAGTCCAGAGGAGGGTATAGGTAGGTTATATGCAAATACTCTTCCACTTCTTATCAACGACTTGGGCATCTGAAGATTTTGGTACGGTGGGGGAGTCCTGGAACCGACCCGCCATGGATGCCAAGGGACAGCTATCCTCTGCCATGCCCATTCACCCCGGCGTTTCCACGTGGCCTGTGCTGATGCAGGCTGCCCTTGAGTTCAAGTCGGTGAAAACCGGGGTTTTAACATTAGAGTGCTAGGCTTGCATGTCTGGGGGCGGCCCACCGAGCTCACCTGGAGCCCACTCATTTCCTTCTTTTTGTTTTTTGAAACAGAGTCTCGCTCTGTCGCCCAGGCTGGAGTGCAGTGGCGCGATCTCGGCTCACTGCAAGCTCCGCCTCCTGGGTTCGAGCCATTCTCCTGCCTCAGCCTCCCGAGTAGCCGGGACTACAGGCACCCGCCACTTTGCCCGGCTTTTTTTTTTTTTTTTTTTGTATTTTTAGTAGAGATGGGGTTTCACCACGTTGGCCAGCTGGTCACCAACTCCTGACCTCCAGTGATCCTCCCACCTCGGCCTGCCAAAGTGCTAGGATTACAGGCGCCCGGCCCCCACTTATTTCCGATCTGTCTAGGAGACTTACCGACTGCTGAAAACAGAGACATGCAAACAAGGAGGAGGACACACCACAGCACGTCGCAGTTCATCTGCCTCTCCAGCTTGCTGCGCTTGTAGCGGGGCCCGCTGTTGTTCAGCAGAGCCTTGGTTTCATGTCCTGTTAGGGAGGACAAAGGACACGGCAAGTCAGAGTCCAGAGGTAAGGGACCAGCTGCACGGACGGCGTGGAGGGAATTCCACGCTGCCATTCACTGGTGCTTAGGTGAGAAGCTCAGTCAAAAAAGCAGGGTTTAAAATTAATCTTACTTCCTGTTGAACAGGTCGGAAAATAAATAAAATAAAATGAAATTAATCTCATATGTATAATGATTGTGGAGAAAGAAATGGAAAGAAATACACCACCGTGCCAAGAAAGAAAGCTTTGGGTTGACATACTAGTCAAAGAATTTTTGCTTTGGCTCCTTTCCGTTTTCTCAGTTTTCCAAATTTTCTACAATGGGGATATGTTACACTTTTTTTTCTTCTTTTTTTGAGACGGAGTCTTGCTCTGTTGCCCAGGCTGGAGTGCAGTGGTGCAAACTCGGCTCACTGCAACCTCCCTCTCCCAGGTTCAAGAGACTCTCCTGCCTCAGCCTTCCTAGTAGCTGGGACCACAGGCGCCCGCCACCACACCCCGCTAAGTTTTTATGTGATTTTAGTAGAGACGGGGTTTCACTCTATTGGCCAAGCTGGTCTCAAACTCCTGACCTCATGATCTGCCCGCCCGTCTCAGCCTCCCAACGTGCTGGGATTACAGACACGAGCCACCGCGCCCGGCCACGTGATGCTTAGGAAGCAGTGAGGGAGAAGGGCTGGAGAACACAGTGCCGCCTGGCGGCAGGTGGTGCCAGGTGCCCGAGCCTACCTGCGTAGATGACGATGCCGACGACAGCGTCCGTGTTCCTGAGGGTGCAGCCCCGCAGCAGCAGGTTTTCTTTATATAGCCCGGCTTTTTTCCCGTTGTCATGTATGCTGTGGAGGGGCGGTTGGCACGTGTCACGTGGTTGCAGGCATGTACCTCGTGTCTTGGGCGGCACTGCCTTGAGGAAGGAAGGCCCTGACACGATGAAAGCTTGGGGATGCCCGGATCTGGACTGGGAAGGGGATGGGGGCCCCGAGGGTGGGTGACTCGCCCTGTGGGTCTCTGCAAGAGCTGAGACAGGACTGCTGCTCACTAGTCACTGGGCATCCAGAAGCAGCCCCAGGGCCTGGTGTTTGTTTGTTTTGCAGATGCAACTGTTTTCACTCCAGGACTGACCACCGCTAGGAGGGGCAAACCCCTAACCAGCCAAGGAAGGCCTTGCTACGTGGTCTCTGCACATCTCCTGCTCAACACAGGAAATGTTACTCCTAACACAGCCTCAAGTTGTCATAAAAAAACAAACACCTTTCTACAAAAGGGGATGATATTGGTTTCATTTTTAACATCCTTTTCTCTTACAAGAAGTTATAAAATTATTAGAAATATTAATATATGTGGTCTGAAATATGGTAAATTCCATGAGACAATTCTATAAATTCTGTTTTACTGCTATTTAGATTCGGAGGGACAGTCCAAGCTTAAGCTACTGGTTTTCAAATTTGTCCTACTGGCCCACTCATGACCCAGGCTAGCTGGGCAGCCTTGGGCTAGGATCGCACTGGGACAGATGTGGCCCCAGGAGCCAGATGCTTGTGCATCTGGCTGTCACAGGGGGAGGCCTCATAACCGGAACTGTAGCCCAGGCCTGCTATAGTTTCAGGTTTCCAGAACAACAGCAGGGGCCCAGCCTAACCCACCCCAGGCAGGGCCACCAAGGGAGTGCCTTCCAAGAGGCCACCTTTTCACACCCACACCTGCTCCACACATCTTCCCCACACTCTCACAGCCCAAATGCTTCCTGTGTGGCTCTCAGCGGCTCACCAGGGACCCCTGCAGGGGTTTCCCTCCTGCCAACTCTTAGCCTCCTGACCAGGGAAATAAACCTATGTCCTAGTGGAGAAGAGAAGCTAAACAGTAAAGGCAAGGCTGAAATGCAAGCTGGGAGGATACATTTTCTACAAGTCAGTTATTTACCCACAGCAAGGGTTCTTCGCCAGAGCAGACACAGGGGGCCGCACAAGGGACATTCAGCCACCGCTGTGTCTACTGCTCCCTTGGCAATTCCAAGACGGAGTAAGGTTTTCCTTCAAAGAGAGATTCGAGATGGCAAACCACTTTGGCAGCCACAGCACTGACAGCCTGACAGGTATGAGACATCCTTAGGTACAAAACCCGGCTCCACACTTCTGGAGTGAGGACCCCCCCTCCACGTGTCCCCCATGGACTTCTCCAGCGACAGCCAGACAAAGACACCATTGCACTGGGACAGCAGAAAATAACAAATCGTCTCCAAGTTCAGGTTATGCTTATTAAGGACGAACGATAAACTTAATAGAAACAAGAAAAATGTTCTACGTTAAATGTTCTTAATTGTGACACTGACTTTTGAGCAACTACTGTGATTTCTGATGAGTCCAAGCCAGACGGAAACTCGGCACTTTATACAGGTGCACTGACCTACACAGGTCCATGCCAGAAGGACGAGGGAATGTGGGGGGCGGGAGCGCACTCCTGCGTGAACAGCCCCACATCAGAAAGGGGAGGCTGGAGAACAACATCACCATCAGGTGCCTGGTGCCTGGGCTGGAAGCTGCCTTGGGCTTGTGAGAGAGAGGGCGCCCGGCCGAGGGCAACACAGGCCCAGGACCACACAGGCACGAGGCTCAACTCCACCAAGATGCACACAGGAACGTCATCCGTCAGCTCCTTTGTCACGGGCTGACCTGTGTCCCCTCAGAATTCAGCTGGTGAAACCCTAACGCCCAGGACTACAGAATATGGCTGTATTTGGAGACAGCGTCTTTAAAGAGATCATTAAGTTAAAATGAGGTCCTTTGGACAGGCATGGTGGCTCACGCCTGTAATCCCAGTACTTTGGGAGGTTGAGGCAGGCGGATCACTTGAGGTCAGGAGTTTGAGACCAGCCTGGTCAACGTGATGAAACCCCATTTCTACTGAAAATACAAAAATGAGCCAGACATGGTGGTGGGTACCTGTAACCCTAGCTACTCGGGAGGTCGAGGCAGGAGAATTGCTTGAACATAGGAGGCAGAGGTTGCAGTGAGCCGGGATCATGCCACTGCACTCCAGCCTGGGTGATAGAGCAAGACTCCGTCTCAAAAAGAAAAAAAAAATGAGGTCCTTAGTGTGGGCCCTACTCCATAGCACTAGGTCCTTCTAAGAAGAGAAGATCAGGCCACAGAGACACACAGAGGGAAGACCATGTGAAAACACAAGAAGACATCTTGCCATTCCTAAGCTAATGAGAAAGAGACTCAGAAAGCACCAGTCCTGCAGACACTTTGATCTCAGATTTCCCAGCCTCCAGAACCAGGAGACAACAAAAGTCTGTAGGTAAAGCCACCCAGTCTGTGGTACTGTTTCTGTGGCCCAAGCACTCACACACATCCTTTAACATTTAATTAAGCCACTTAGAAGGCCTCATGCGGTCCAAGTCCCCAGGTCTGCTGACTCATCAGACCCATGTCTTCCAAATCAAAACTGGATGAGAGAACTGCCTGGTGAGAACACCAGCCATCCACTGAACAGTGCCCCGTGCAGGCTCCATGGGAAGTGGCCGTGTTCGCCTGGTACCTCCGGCCCCGTGTTTCTTCTCAGAAGATATTACGTTTTCCTGACCACACCTGCTGTTGGTAATGGGTCTCGTTCATCTGTGTCCCAGCACATTAAGAAAGGTAAGGGTCCGCAACCGGGGTGGGAATCTCCCCCTTCCAACACAGCGGTGCAGGGCAACAGTGCTCGGTGTCTCCTCCACGGCCACAGGCAGCAGCGTACAAGCCCGGCACCAGGGACAGCACTTTCCAAGCCAGTTCCTCCCCAGGTCACATCGCCTCCAGCAACCAGAGCCCCAGACCCTCCTCTCCGCGGTACCCAGGTGATGGCTCCACGTTGGCATGGTCACTGGCCGTCCGTGACGCCTCCCTCATTTTTTACATCCATTCAACCTCATCTCCACGTTAACCTTACTCTGGCTGTGTCTTTAACCCATGTCCCCTTCTCTCTATCTCCATGCAGCACTGCTGATTTAGGCGTCTGCATTTCTCTTGCTGGAGCCTGCAACACACGCTTGCTGGCCTCAGCTCCACCGGCCTGGGTTCCTCACACAGGCACCGGAGCAATCTTCGAGTGTGTGCATGTGAGTGTCCCCTGCGGAGTTCCTCATTGCTCCAGCTTGACGCGGGGCCCAGCCCGTTCCACAGCCCCTGCTTGGCCCACAGAAGGGGTGGCTTCTGTGCTTTTCCGCCCCAGCCACCCCCACACAGCATGTTCTGTGGACTCTGTGCTGGCCTCTGCCTGAGGGAGCCTGGCCTTCTGGCCTGGGCTCAGGTTCTGCTGCCTTCAGGGCAGTCCTCCACGCCACACTCCCAGGCCCTCCAGCCAGGCCTGCTGGCAGTATTCCTTCCATGTCTCTGCTTCCAAATAGGAGCTGCTCATGTCCTATCCATTGCACACCCCAATGCCTACCTCCGAGCTTGGCAAACATTGAAGGCTGCCTGGCCCTTGGCTTTGAGCTGGGTCCATCCAGTGGGGATGACGGGAAGGACACTGGAGGAGTGCCTGAGAGCAAGACAAGACAGGGAGTAGGCTGGGCGCGGTGGCTCACACCTGTAATCCCAGCACTTTGGGAGGCTGAGGTGGGAGGATTGCTTGAGGCCAGGAGTTAGAGACCAGCCTGGCCAACACGGTGAAATCCCATCTCTACTAAAAATACCAAAAAAAAAAAAAAAAAAAAGCCAGGTGTGGCGGTGCATGCCTGTAATCCCAGCTACTCGGGGAGGCTGAGGCAGGAGAATCACTTGAACCCGGGAGGTGAGGGTTGCAGGGAGCCAAGATTGCGCTACTGCCCTTCAGCCTGGACAACAGAGTGAAACTGTAAAAAAAAAAAAAAAAAAGAAAGAAAAGACAGGAAGTTTATTCCCTGCTCCCTCCTGGAGAGGCAACACTAGTGGCTGGCAGTGTCCCCTGACCAGGGCTACGAGTCTCCCCAGGCATCTCCCTCGTCATGAGTCCCCCAGGGCCACTCTTGGCAACGACCTCATGGGGCCTCATGGCAATGACTGTGCAGTGGCTACTAATCCAGTGTCTGCTCTGTCCCCAATACGTCCCCTACACCCACCCATGCCTGCAGATTAAATACCTTAGCAAAGATGTGCCCTTAGCAAGCATCCTTCCTCATCTATATGAATCAGGGTGTTCAGTCTGCTTCCTAAGTGGATCCTGACTGACATAAGTTGGGAGGAAGGAATGACAGATAATTGCTTCCACTGGCAAATCCTGGGCAGAATTTTCTTTAAAATAATATGTTCAGATTTTTGTTTATCTAACAAAAGTAAGTATGGAAATTACCAAACTGTTTTGTGCTGATGTTCAATATTTTTAAGATATAAATATGTCAACTAAAGGTGGCAAGGTGGAATTAAAACATTCCAGTTTGAGTGGATCTAGCTGATGCAGTTTATTTAATGCTTGGTCCCTGGCAGTAAGGGCATTTTGGATACAGCCCGCACAAGGCTCCCACCAGACACCAGGTAGGAGGGGGCAGGGATCGTGACAGCTCTGTTGTCAGTGACAGCCCTGCTGCCTTTACTAACCATGGTCTCTGGAGGGTGTCACCCACCAGGGCAAAGAGTTTACCCCAAAATGCAGCTGTGCTCGTGCCAGCCCTGTGTGGTTTCAGGAGGCTCTGCAGCTCAGAACCCTGCTCTGTGGGGTAAGAATGGTCACCAAAGGAGAACAGGGCTGGCTATACTTGTATCTGACAAAATAGACTAAGTCGAAAACTGTCCTACAAGACAAAGAAGGGTCAATTACGCAGGAAGACATAACAATTATAAATACGTATGCATCCAATATCAAAGCACTCAAGAATCTAAGCAAACGTTGACAGGTCTGAAAAGAGAGCTAGCGAACCGGCTTTACAAAGTCAAATGGAATTTTACATCAGATGACCAGTTAACCAGCCAACCTCTTTGCTTTATTCTTTAGGGGAAAATGCAAATGTTTGATTGGTTTGTGGCTTCAGAGGTGACCGCGTGCCATAAAGTTGGCTGTGCATAATCAGCAGGGTCAGGCTGAACCAGGTCTCCATTCCCAGGAGGCCTCTCTGGGCGAGGACACCTCAGGGCAGGGGCTGAGGAGTGAGTGCCGGAAACAGCTGGAGAAGGTGGGGAACGATGTTACTTCCAGATCCTAACTCTGAAGATCTCATTAGGGTTTAACTATATGAGGATCCTTCCAAAGAACGCAGCCTTAAAGGGCACTCGAATAATGAGGCTCCTAGCACTATTTTTCTGCCAGCTTGAGATATATTTCACAGACTATAATGTTCGCTCATTTAAGTTCATCCAGTTCTGTGTTTTGATTTGATTCAGATAGGGTCTCTCTATTGTCCAGGCTGGAGTGCAGTGCTGTGATCATAGCTCACTGCAGCCTGGATCCCCTGGGTGTAAGCCATCCCCCCACCTCAGCCTCCTGAGTTTCTGTGATTACACAGGTGCGCACCACCACACCAGGCTAACTTTTTTTGTGTGTGATTTTTGTAGAGACAAGGTCTCACTACATTGTCCAGGCTGGTCTTAAACTCCTAACCTCAAGTGAACCTCCCATCTAGGCCTCCCAAAGGATTACAGGCCTAAGCCACTGCACAGCCTAGCTTTTTTTTCTGTTTGTTTTTGTATCATCAAGAGTTGTATAACTACCACCACCAGCTAATATGAGAACATTTTCTTCTTTCTCTTTTTTGAGACTGGGTCTTGCTCTGTCTCCCAGCATGGAGTACAATGGCACAATCATGGTTCACTGCAATCTCTGCCTCCCCCGCTCAAGCGATCCTCCCACATCAGCCTCCCAGGTAGCTGGGACTACAGGAGTGCACCACCACACCCAACTAACGAGAACATGTTCATAACCCTAAAATAAACCCTAGACCCATGGGCAGTCCCTTCCCATTCCTATCTCACTCCACACCCCCAAACCCTGGCCACTGCCAATCCACTTCCTGTCTCTAAGATTTCCCTACTGCGAGCATTCCACAGGCGACACTTTCTAATTCATGTCGTACGTCACGTACATTCCTTCACTGGACTCTCACGTCAGCTTGTGAGGTTGACAGGCAGCCGATGATACCTCCAGGATTCGGAGAAGGCCGGCGCTCAGGAAGACAGAATCACTTTCCTAAGGCCAACTCCCGGGGAAGAGGAAGAGCCTCTATTCAGGCTATAGGGTCTTCTTGCTACAAACCCAAGCTCAGTTCTGTTCTCCAAGTGCAAACGGTTAATGTTTCAAGTTTGGAATGGCTGGTCCTCAAAGAGGCAAATCTGCCAGTATTTCTGGGCTGTGTGGTGTGAAGGTTACGGGGCAATTCCAGTGGGTGACGGGGTCAACATTTGGCTGCAGACGAATTTCAGCTTTTGCTGTGCAGAGTTCACTTCTGTTGAGTCATCCCCAGCCCTACCGCCTGCCACTGTGTGCTGGGCACAGGCAGCAAGGCTGGAGGTGCTGGTAAATCAGAAGACTCAAACTCACACTGAAAGCTCTCAGAAATGGGGCCACTTTCAGAAGCAGATCGTCCCCACACCTCCGTGTGTCAGCGGGGGGCGGGGGGGGGGGGGAGACCACTGCCTGGGACATTCAGCGGCTGCAGGCATCAATGATCCATCCCCGCCTCCAAGTAGGACAGTGCCAGGAGGCGGCCCCTTGTACTGCAGGGGAGAGGGCTGAGCCCACAGGAGGTGGCTGAGGCGTGATAGCTGAACAGTGCTTGAGGGCAGTGGAACGCCATGTGTGTCATGCCCCTGTCACAGGCTGGTTCTCCAGGAGACCATCCCCAAGGGCCCTGGCAGGCCACTCAGCAGCTCCGTCCTGACACTGCCTATTCTCTTCCATGTTTTTCCCCCTACCACTGACCACACACACACACTTGGATTATCATGGAAATTTCCAAACAGACATGAAGGTTGTCTCTACTACTCCCCATCACGCGGCTTCAGCAAGTGCCAACACAGGGCCAGGCCTGTGCCCTGATCCACCTGTCTTTCTGTTTTGGAGCAGGAAGGGGCTGGCCTACCAGACACACTCTAGGTTATGCTTATTTGTTTTAATTGTCTTTCTTTCCCCCTAACTAGAATGAAATAAACACAAAGGCAGGAACTTCTGTTTATTCAGTTTACCACATTACATCCAGTGCCTTGAATGCGCCCAGCATGTAGCAGGTATCAATAAATACTTGTTCAGTGACTGAGTGGAAGCATACATCCACGAAACTCCACCCGGCCTACTCCTGCTTTCATGTCACGGGGCCATGTGTGGTCAGCGACACGTCTCTGCTCACACCCATCACCTTCCCAGTGCCTGCTAGTGGGAGGAAAAGCGGTACCTCCTTCTTACAGATGGTCGTGGCGAGCTTCTACTGACAACAGGCTCTTACCCACCAGTTCCAAAAGCAGCCAAGAAGGCTCAGGTGCTGGGCCACATTCCCGAACAGCTACACCATGTGATAAAGAGTATTAAATGCATACTTTATAACTGAGCGAGTGTATGCACCTGCCTATATAGTTATCAAACAGAAGGATGCGTGCGGGCAGACGCACGATACTCACATGCAGCCGCGAAACCTACTCAGGTCGTTGTTTGGCTTCTCGCATTCGATCACGCTGGTGAACGTCAAAGGATTGAACTCGGAGACCTAAAATAACAGCACGTATACGTTAGAGAAATCCGGGCTCAGGCTGCTCCGTTCCAAAAGGCACTTGTTTTTCTGTCTTGCATCCGCGGCAGGCAAGTTTCACGGGGGAAGAACTCAGCCTATGAATCTGTGGAAAGCCGAGGCACGGCCTTCTCCACTGTATAATAAATAACAGTTAATTATTTGATAATGAGTGGCAGTTGGGGGACCGATGCTGGTTACTGGCTAGTAAGTGAGCAGACATGACTGTAGCTCTATTGCAAAATGAGGGAACAGGTGATCAAGCAAAGGAGGCCATCAATGAAGCAAAGGGATGAATGAGTTTTTTAAGACACATGGCACTTGCCCATTTTTACAGACTTAGAGAAGCGAATTCCACCTGGAGAACAGGAGCTTATAATAAATTCTACTTTTTCAACACACACTACACGATCTTCATGGATCTTCGATGAAAAAGATTTACATAGCCAATGAGGGAGTCAACAATTTCTTTAGCATTCTGCTCAATTAAAAAAAAAAAAAAAACCTGACAACTCACCACAAAAAAGTCTTTTGAATTTTTCCACTGACAGATAGAACACAGCCTGGCTCATACGAAAGACTTAGGAGTCGGGGGAAGGAGGAAGAAGGGAGAGAAATGGAAGGAATAAGCTTTCCGTATAAATGAGTACAATTAGTGGATTTCTTTTTTATTAGCTGTCTGGTCAGGCCTGTCATTCTACTTAATCTATCAAGTGTCATAACAAGGTAAAAACTGAACTATCTTTGTTCACACACACAAAAAGTGAAGGTGGTTAGAAATCAAGAAATGGCATAAACACGCCTGACACCACCCCAGGTGACTATGGCTCTGCCACAACTACATATTTCCCTGCACAGAATAAAACTCAGTTCCTACTGTTTCCCAGTGCAAAGCGTACATTAAAAGGGGTGTGCGTTAGATAATCGTAGCTCGATTCAATAACTGAAACTGAAATGCTATTTTAAAAGGCACTTCTTGGAGTTTAATTAGCCATCAGTCTCTCTTCTCCTTGGACTGAAACGGCCTCTCGCTCTATTTCCAGAGCGAGGCTCTGTTTCAAGGAGTCTTGTGTTTATTTAAAGCCTGCGGATTATCTTGAAACCAGTGGATGGCTTTTTCCAGGGCAGACATTTACAGATACAAAGTACAGGATGGCCATGAAGGCAGTGAGTTCCAGAGAACACCAGGATTATTCTTGGCAGACAAGGAGGGTAGGACTTAAAAATATTCTGTCTCTGTTTATTATTCTTTCTCTCTAAGAAAAATGTCATGGACATGGCTCAGAAACAGCAGGACATTCTGTCTCTGGGACTTCAGAGCTGCGTCTGTAATGTTCTACCAACAATCCCGTGCCCTGGGGAGTGTGCGCAGGGGCGGCCCCAGGCACAGGACGCCTGGCTTCCTCTGCTTCCTTTTGGAACTGGGGAGGATTTGGAGGAGTTTTAGAACTGGAGGGATCTCTAGAGACTGGCATGGGCTGACCTGGAGCCCCTCGTCCGCCACTAGAACTCATATGTTGAAGTTCTAACCCCACGTAGCTCAGAACGTGTCCTTATTTAGCGATGAAGTCTTTAGAGAGGTAACTAAATTAGAATGAGGTCATCAGGGTGAACCCTAATCCCACATGACTGGCGGCCTTACACAAAGAGAAAATCAGGACACAGAGACACACGTAGGGGAGATCATGCAAGGACACAAGGAGAAGCCAGAAAGAGAGGCCTCAAAAGAAACCACCCTGCTGACCCCTTACTGTCCAGCTTCCAGACCTGCGAGAAATAAACTTCCGCTGCTCAAGCAGCCCGGTCTGCGGTGTTTCATTACAGCAGCCCCGGTAAACGAACACAGGGGCCAACTTTGAGTTTCTCATTTAAAAAGCATTTCATGTCCACAGCACACCTTCTGAATGAGGAAAATCCTGTTTACGGTGTTTATTTCTAACAACAGCCAACACAGCAACACACTCCTCACTTAGGAAATATATTGATTTATCCCTCCATGCACTCATGTCTACCCCTGCCTCATTCCAAATCAGCTTTGAGGTCATGCCCGAGTTATCCACCAGTCAGACTTGTCAACCTGCCCCCTGGAGCATGGACAGAGCTGGAGACCCCCGATCCACCTTCTGCTCTGAGCACACTAACTCCATTCTTCTTAAAACGTAGATATCGAGCTAGGGAGGAGGAAGCAATTGTGGAGATGGATGGTGGTGATGGCTGCACAACAATGCAAATGAACTTAATGCCACTGAACTGTACACTCACAAATGATTACAATGGTAAATTCTATGTTATGCATATTTTGCCATGATAAACAATTTCATTTACGGCCATGCCACCCTGAATGCATCCAATCTTAACTGATCTCGGAAGCTAAGCAGGGTCAGTACTTGGATGGGAGACACAATTTAAAAATTTTTAAGTGGATATAAACAAACTCTGATAATTGACTGAGAAGAAATGAAATAATCATCAAGTTGAACATAGACCAGAAACCTGGGACTTTTCAGTACAAGTACATAAAGTCTCCATCACCAGTAATTCCTAAGGGCACTGCCGTTCTCATCGTCGTCACCATCAACATCATTACGAGTTTTGGGAGGCGTGCCAAATGCCAGGCGTTGTGCTAAGTGCCCTTCAATTATCATGAAATCCTGCCAGAAAGTCGGTTTTCGCACCACCTTCAACTTAGAATCTTTAAGTATCATGCCCAAGGTCACAGTGGTCTTGGAGTGATGCACTGGAGCTTTCTTGGCCTCTGAGCTATCAGCTCAACCATCAATACCTGCAGAGAGAATCTGGCATTAACAGAAAAAGATTGTGGAAATAAGCCAGAAAATGTGTAACAGATTCTACAGAAATATCCCCCAAAATTTAAATTGCTTTTTATTTTTTATTTTTGAGAGAGTTTCACTCCTGTTGTCCAGGTTGGAGTGCAGAGGTGTGATCCTGGCTCACTGCAATCTTCGCCTTCCGGGTTTTCAAATGATTCTCCTGCCTCAACCTCCCGAGTAGCTGGGATTACAGGCACCCACCATCACGCCTGGCTAGTTTTTGTATTTTTAGTAGAGACAGGGTTTTGCCACGTTGGCCAGGCTGGTCTCGAACTCCTGACCTCAGGTGATCCACCCGCCTTGGCCTCCCAAAGTGCTGGGATCACAGGTGTGAGCCACCACGCCCGGCCTTAATTGCTTTTTAAAGTTCTAAGTTTCCAAAATTTAAGTTTTAATGTTTTGAAAACATGCTTCAGTTCAACATACCTTAATCTGATCGTAGATACCCTCTTTCCATCTTCAGCAATGCCTGTGGATGTGGGCTTACCAGAGCCCACCCAAAAACAGAGTAAAAAATCAGGAGCCCGGGGACTTAGTGCTAGTTCTTCTGATTAATAAATGAGACTTTTGGCAAGTGAAGAGAGGGCATTTGGACTCGGATCTCTGGGGTCTCTGTTGCCCTATAAGTCCACAATTCTGTAGGATGCAGAGGTGGTTCCAATTAATCCCTGTGCTTGGGACGACAGACTCACTGTTGCGGAAACAGCATCACCTGCAAGGGTGCTGCCACACAAGGCAGCCTCGAGCTGAAGCACTGCCCTCCACAGCTCTGCCGCAGCACCCCAGCATCTCAGACGAAAGGAAGCGGACAATGCGAAGGGTTCGCCCGCTGCAGAGCAACAGCATGTTCAAATAAATATCTCACTGGCAAGCAAGAAAGTGCTCATCGTTTCTGTTGCTGTCTTACAAATATTTCTGAAGCTTCTTTGGGCAAAGTGATTTGACCTTACTAAGTGGAAAGAAAGAAGCGGGACAGTGGTGCAACAGAGAGCCCCCCAGCCCTGCCCCTGAACTTGCGTTTCTGCTAGAGACCACAGCAGAGGCGCTCCAGGGATGCCCGGAACCCTGCGGCATGCTTCTGCTTCCTCCTGATGCCTGGGACCTCCTCCAGGTAGAACAGCTGCGTCCCCTCTTCAACCACATGGGGGAGGCGTGTGTCTAATTCAGCAGTGCCCAGATTGCTGCTTGAATGAATGGTCTGATTCACAGGGGAGACCGTATTACCAACCTTGTATTTCACATTTGCATTAAGTGAATTGCTACCAAGTAACTCAACAAAAGCAAATACAGATGTCCTCCATCTTGAAACAGAAGCAGTGATGTTGGAAAGGGCATTTATAGTCCATTAAAGAAGATACCGTTATTTTTTTTCTATCATAAAACAACTAAATAAAGAGGCTCATATTGCTTCAGCAATGGGGTGAGCACACAGCACAGGTGCACACTTGGGTCATCTGCAGGTTGGCTGCCAGCAGGGACCCTGCCTAATGCTCCAGGTGGAAACCTCTGAATGAGGCCACCTGTCTGGGTCTCTGGACGTTGTGGGCAGAGAGAAGCCTGGTGAGATAATGCACAGAGCACAGAGGCGGCACCTGCCAGCCAGGCAGGGCCACCACCTGCACCAGCGAGAAGACATGGCGAACACGCACATTCCCGTCCTCTGCATCTGGATCCCGTTCTGAAAAAGCCCTTTGCGTTCCCTGTCATGATACTCCTAGGTCACAAGGAGGTTGAGGTCCCCCTGGTTCACCTCCAGCCTTGACCTCACTCCAGGACATGGTCCTCGAAGGCTCTCAGTGGACAAACACGATACCTCTCACTGCCTCCCTGGCTTTGGTCTCGCTGCCTGCTATGGGCCTATTTGTCCCTGGACTGAATGATCCCCGTCTGATCACAGAAGTATCCCACCTCAGCAAAGCCTTGGAGACAGCTGCTGCCCTACAGGACGCAATCCTCATCCCATGCAACAGCAAAGTTCTGCCCAGGGTCACAGCGCTGAACTTCTCGGCTGCCACCCCTCCCGGCACCCATTCCTGCACACAGGGAACCCTGAGGAAGCCCAGACCTTTCTGCATGGCTTCCTTTGTCTTCCCATCCTGCAGCATCAGGCGAAGTGCCTGTCATTTAGGATTCAGGATGTTGTCCTTT